GGGCATGGATCAGCAGAGCCAGGAAGACCCACCTGGGTGCAAACAGGTGCTCAGCAGGACACCCAGAGACCATATGTCCTCAGGGTGCAGTGCCCAGAGCCCCACCACCAAGCACTGAGCCTCACAGCACAGCCCTGCACCAACTGAACCCCCATCTCCCCCAGCAGCTCTGTTCCGAGTCTTCCATGCGCCTGTGGTAGGAACATCTCAGCACAAGAATGACCCCAAACAACTTGTAATGCTTCAGCAGAAGCAGTGCAGTTCACTCATTCTGCCTGGTAACCTTCAAAAAGCCATCAGCTCCTCAGCATTGCCCATACCCTGCTCATCCCAAAGCCACCCCTGCAGCTGCTCAGCACCAGCTAATAGGGGCAAAGAGTTCCAGTTTGCCTCTGAGCACAGGGAGCCCTGCAGACAGTGCACATGCTGGGGAAGGGAAGCACTGATGGGTTCTGGCACAGGAGCTGAAAAGGCAGTTCTGGCTCAAGACCTCATTCTGCAGTGACCTGTGTTGTGAACGTGCCTTTTTCCCTTTTTCTTGCTAAATGGAAAGAAAAATAAATCCTTCCAGGTCAGAGGAAAGAAAAGCACTTACTCACGGGTCAAGTGAAGCAATGTGAAGCAGCCTTGAGTGCAGCTTTACCTTCCCTAAACCATGCAACGATTCCATTTTCACTGGGAAAAAAAAAACAAAAGACACCACCACCTAAAAATAAAAAAAGAGAATGGTTTTGGTGTTAGGAGCATTTCATTTTTTTAAAGCCAAGCTGACTTGCTGGATCAGCTCCGCTTTGTGAAGCATAGGGCAACCCAAAGGCACACAGGAAAGCAGATGGAGGAAGCAGAGCTGAAATACTTCAGCCCTCTGAAATAGCAGAGCCACCCCGGTACCCCCCAGGTCCAGGTTTTGGGGTGCAGCCCCACTCCTAGAGTCTCAGCCAGGAACCCCCATATTTCCATCACCCCAACCCACCACCCCAGATGACTCCCCCATACCACAGCTCCACACGTTGTCCAAGTCCATTAGCACGTCCCTGGGGCACGCACACCTCGCCAGCACTCTGCTATCCCCGGCTTTCAAGGAGAGCTGCAGGGCTGTACTGCCTTCCCATTTTTCATTTGCTTTGAACACTTTGGTCCTGTACCCCAGGGGCTCCCGGTCAATAATCACTGTTACAAAGAAATTGCTCAGCTTCCTTCAAGCTTTGCAGCTTGCCCAGGTTCACCCCACACCCAGGGAGCAGGGATGCAGGTGCAGCATCACACTCCAGTCCCTGAAGAAACGATCTCTCTTTTTCCACCTTCTTAAGCAATAAACATACAGCCAGAGACCTGCTGGGAATGAGAAACATGACCTGAGCTGTACTGGAAAGATCAGCCAAGGTCTCCAGGAGCAGGGGAGCAGCCCCAGGAGCAGGGTTGTTTGGGTTTTTAGATATCTGCTGATATTGCAGCAGGAGCAGTACTCACATAGCAAGCAGCAGCAGCATGGCAGGCACAACCTCCAGGATCCCACCAGTCACACGTCATCCCACATGCAGTCCTTGTAGCCCGGAACGTGCTCCCAATCACATCTCAGCAGTTGAAGGAGCTCCTAAGCTATGGGGGAAGCCTCAATGCTGAGTAATGCTTGCTGGCTTTCCCCCTTGGGTTTGCCTGTTGCCATCAGCAGTGTCTGCCTCCCATTCTGAGATCCCAAATGCACCTCCTATCCCCAATTACAGTCCTGTGAGATGAGAACAGGCAGGATCCAGCCAGCAGCTCCCCAAAACAGCTTCATCCCCCTGCTGCTTGGCGAGCTGGAGGAGATGAGAGGTGATGGCCTTGAAGCTGAACCCGAGGGTCCAGGGTGAATACTGGGAAAAGCTTCTGCTCAAAAGAGCAGTGGTGCATTGGCACAGCCTGTCCATGGAGGTAGTGCGCCCTGGGGGTGTTCAGTAACAGTGCACTGAAGGATGTGGTCAGTAGTGGGAATAGGATGGGGTTGGACTTGGGCATCTTAGAGCTCTTTTCCCATCTTCATGACTCCATAAGATGCAGCTGCCCTGGTCAGCCCCTCCCTGTGAGCTGTTCCTGTGCGATTCAGGGGTTGCTGAGAAGCACAGGGATGTTTCCCACCCTGGTAGAGTCTTTCCAGCAGCTCCTTCCCTCCGGGATCCCCCTAGAGGAGCAGTTTCAGGCTGAAGAGAGCAGAGCTGTGCCTCGGCCGCCACCTAGCAGCGACCCAGTAGAGCTGGGGACGCTGAGACAGCCAGCAGAGCCGTGCCAAGGTACTGCGCACTCCTCTGCACGAGCAGTCTGCAAACACACGGCCGAGACAGCCAAGCTGCATCTCCTTTTACCTTTCTGTGTTTCAGGACATCCCACCCCGGCCTCGTATCAGCACTACACACCCAGCACCCTAAGAGACAACTCTGCTCTCCACATCCACACGTGGGGCACTGAGGAATAAGAGAAGGCTGCCAGGACCGCCAGCATCCCCAAAAACCACCATCAGCAGTGAAGGATGTCACTACAGAGCAGTGTCAGCCCACACCAGCAGCACAGCCAGCTGCCTGTTTCACCAGCACCTCAATCCTGTCACCATTTCCCTAAGCTGCTCAGAACTATCCACATCCTTCCCTCTTTCTGGGGGTAAGGCTCTGAGCCAAAGGGCTTCGGGGGTGGTGACTTGTGATTTTGGTCCATTTTGAAAGCATTTATTTTGGACCAGGTAACCAGAAAACACACAGCATCTCTGCCAAAGTAGGTCTGGGCTGCATGAGCCAGCCTACCTCCAGAGTCCATCTCCTTCTGCACCTGACACTCACAATTTCTGGTGTTCTCTATCAGAAAACAGCCCAGAAAACAGGTTGTTCTGCTCTGGACCATTCAGACACTCGTAAGGTGGGAATGGAAATGCAATGACAGCATACAAAAACATCTTAGCATGCAGCCAATACAGCAGTGAAACCTGCTGCTAGGGATGGGGCTATGGAGAAGGCAATCAGCAGGCAGGAGGAAGAGCTTTCTGGGTGATTTAAGAGATCAAAATTCTCAAGAATATCTGAGACTCAATTAAGGCAGCATCACAGTCCCTGACCCAGGGAACCTCAACACCAAATAAACTCAATGCAGAAAAGACAGGAGGAATCACAGGGCTTGAAAGAAGTGCTGAAGAGCTGCCAAAAGCAGCAGGACGCTGTCTATAAGCAGCTGCTCCAGGTAGCTTGGCTCGAGGACAACTCCCAGAACTGAGTTCAGGGGCTTTGCCTTTGACTGAGCTGTCCTGGGAGACAGTCCCCACATAGCCATTCAAGTCCCAGTGACTCTGGACAAACCAGGGCACCCCAAGACACCCACCTGCACTTCTTGCAATAGGGCAGAAAGCTACCAAGCAATTTGATTTTTTTTTTTTTGCACAGCCCAAAAGTTCAGCATTCCTATCCTTCCCTCATAGATGCTATTCCTCCTCCACAGGAGAGGAGCTGCCACAGAAGTTGATCTCTAGGAGATAAAAACAGATGTTGCCCTCCTCTTTGGGAGGAAGTGAGGAAAACAGATCTTCCAGGAGCATTCAGCTCACTCAAATCCCAGCTACAAAACCAAGCAGATGTTACAGCCCATGCTATGTGGGGAACAAGGATCCAGTATATCAAAATAAAACTGACCCCATCTTAGTGTTTGAAAGGACACAAAATGCTTTCTTTCCTTTTATTCCCTCCCAGACTGCCCGCTACTCAGGTCACAGAGATACACATCCAATTTTCCCTTAGTTCTCATCCCAAGGCATCACAGTGACTGTTTTCCCACAGAAATGGGAACTCAACTACCCCAGGCACAGAAACCTCTCTGTCACATCAGGGAGAACTGGGAAAAGAAAATTCTGCAGAAATGTTCCCAGTTGAGAACTTTTATTAGATTGTAACGAGCAGAAAAACTAAGACAAAAAGCACTCAAACCTAGCCAGCTCCATTGCCCACGCAACTCTGAGCAAGCACAAGTGTTTCATCCATTTTCATGCTAGAAGACAAACACTTTTGTTACAACCTCATGGCCTTAACACAGGACCAGAAAGTCAGGCAACTTCTGACACTCCCTGTAGGGCTACACAGCTGCTGCACAATGCAGAACTCTTGCAGCTCTCAACTTCTCTGCTTTCACCTCCTTTCACTGGGTGTTTGCCCAGTTGATCCCTAACAACCATCCATTTTTCTTTCTTGCTCTCTGCAGTTTTACCCTTCTTTTTGAATGTGGATCACAACTAAATGGTGAAATTCAAAGAAAACAGTCATCTTTCTTTCACCAGTGCTTCTCAGGGAAAACTCTTAGGTCGGAATCAACTGGGCACACAGTTCATTCCTAGAAAGGAAGCCCTCACCAGCCAGTGAGATACCAGCACAGGCTGCCCAGAGAGGTGGTGAGGTCACTGTCCCTGGAGGTGTTCAAGCAAAAGCTACATGCTGCACTGACTGACATGGGCCAGAGCAGACTACAGGCATGGGCTGATGGTTGGATTAGATGGTCATAGTGGTCTTTCCAACCATAACATACTTGAAGGGAGCACATAAACAGGAGGGGGAATGGCTGTTTACAAGGATGGATAGTGATAAGGCTGGCATACAGCTCTCCTAATGGCAAGGACTGAGCAAGAGCACTGACTGTGTTAAAAAAAATAGAAGAAAACATAACCACCTCCTGTACACAATGACGAAACCACACAGACACCAAGGGAGGGATGCATTTCCAGTTTTCCTCTCCTCAGGTTAGAACACAACGTGACACTCGGGATGTTCTTTTGAATCATTAAAGAGCAATAAAGCAAGACCAGTACAAGAAAAACAGAGTATTTTCCTCAACTCAAAGAAACACGTGCTACAGGCACCAGGTACGTCTGAGAAGATGTCACACAGGTTTTTCAAACAAGTGCTTTTTAATTAAAAGAATGACAGCACAGTAATATTTCACTGCTCTACGGAGCCTTCCTCAGCAGCAGCTCCATCTGCTTCTCTCACCTCTTCTTACAGCTCCTTTTTTGGGCCTGGGAGCCAGTGGAAGTAGCCATGACAAGTGGCTAAGCGTGCAGCAGCTGCCAACACCGCAGACAAGGTGGTAGGAGGGACGTAGAGCTTGCAGGACATCTCTTGCTCACACAGACCTCTGGCACTGCACTGCACAAGTGCAAGATTCTCAGGAAGGTCTTTGTTCTTCATTTTCTCATCACCTGCATAAGGAAGGAGAAGGAAAATATCCGCATGAATCTCTTTAAGAGTTTCAGCTTAGACAGCAATATCTGTTTGCTGTACTTGATCAAGTGATTGCATGACTACTTCCCACTGCAAACTCACTGAATTAACTTGGAAAAGGTGAAATCCAAGAGGTTCTCTCTATCTCCCCCCAGCTCTCATCCCTATTTTCCCCAGAGGTGGGAAAGAAGACTTAAAGTGAATAGATCCTATCTTGAAGATTGGGGCCTCAACTCCAGAGAAACAGCAAACTGCTCTATTTCAAGAAACAAACATGCACTATCTCAGGCAAGCCACTTCACTTTGGCTTGTAAATTGGGCAACTTGCACATGGGGGCTGTAAATTCTTTCATTATTTTGAAAACAGGAAAAAAAACCACCCTCGTGGACTTTTTAAAGTTAAAAAAGTGCTTTTCTCCCTTACAGCTAGAAGGAGAGGCTCACTATGGAATGAACACAGCCTGATGTAAGGAATGGAAAAAACAAAAACTTCAGCATGAAAAGTGTAGAAAGTCTAGGAACCACAAAAAAAACAAAAACCCTGGGAGAAAAACACCTCAATTCACTACGCTTACAGAGGTTGAAACAAAGCATTGCATCCAGCCATTTATTTTTGTCACAGCTCATCCCACAGAAATACCAACAAGTCCATCAGGTCTAGCAAAGAAGCAGCACTAGGATACTTTCACATTGACTGCAGGTCTCAAGGGACAGTAAGAGATTGCTCAGCTTTCCTCTACATTAAACTTTACTGATAAATCCATTCGTACTGTTACGGTTGTCCAGCATAAATGGCGCTGCCATAAGCAGAAGAGAGGCATGTAGAACTTCACAAGACTGGGCTTTGTTGGAAAATCGTTGTACATTATTAGGGCCATTTTGGCTCATTTCTGCTGGTTGCTTGACATAGAGGAAGGAGAAGTAGTCTTCCAATGACTTGAAGAAAACAGTAGGCCTTAAGGACTCTCCAAGAGGATGAGGTGTCTGCAATTATATTAAAACAAACAAACAATCAACCCTCAGGAGAGGGTGCGATTAGTGCACACTCAGTTCATTAGCTGCCCTGACCTTCATGACTTCCCTCAGAGTTCATAAAGAACTGAAATGTCAGCAACAGGAATTTTTAACAATACTGGCTACTTGCAACCCCAGCCAAAGGGCAGCTCTTCCTGCACAGTGAGCTGGAAAGAGTGGCAGATTATTACAGGATACTAATTAGCATGTCTTAGCAAAGAATTAACAGCTGGCTCATCTCTCAGCAGCCCCACGCAGAACAAGTGACTGCGATGACAGAGGGAGTTTCTGCAAGGGAATGAGAACTGAGTCAGAGGAAGTTCCTCTGTGTTTTTTTTTATCAAAAATACAAATTAAATTTAAGCTCTAGAGATGACCACCTACATCTCAGTCAAAGAATGGGACTGAAGCCAGTGTTTTTATTTACTGATTCAGCATGAAGCATGACAGCATAGTGAAACAGGCAAGCCACGGTGCAATTCATCTGCCCAACTGTAGCTGTTCAAAAATTAGGTGCCCATTCTCTAGGCTTCTTCTGCTGAAGCAGCAGCAAAAGGCACCCACCTCCAGATGAGGTGAATCAGCCTCTGGTGAGAGAGCATTCAGACGATTAGCCCAGAACAAAACAGTTTTACACAAGGTGATTCAAGAAGTTAAGGTTGGCCACTCACAGGGGGATTGTGAGAAGCTCCTGAAGCAGCAAGGACAGCCTCAGGGCTGGGCAATAGAAGTATAATGCTGGTAGGATAACAAGGCAATAACTAGAACAAGTATGAGAGCCTCATTAACCAGCTACTCAGCTTGATATCATCAGCCCACTAACAATTTCTGCCTAACATGCAGTAAAAACTAGAGTGCTAGAATAAGAAAGAAAATAACATTAAAAGGTAATCATCCCCTCTGATAACCACGCTGTCTTTGCTGGGGGACTCAAAGTGTCACTGCCACTTCAAGACAAAGAAGGAACATTCATGGAGCAAAGGCAGACTGTGGAAGGGTCTATGACTATTGGAAAAAGCTGGAAGGCACGCAAGTCATAAGGAAGCTGTTCAGAAAAGATAAAAGAAATAGTATGCCCTACAGTGCTGTGAGGGGCAGGAAATAAGGAAAGCACCATCTACACTTCCTCCCGATTCACGCAATTAAGATCATCACCACTAAAAGGAAAGCATGAACAATGAAAACTGGAAAAGGGGTGGAATACCACCTGGCAGCACCACAGGTACCAACATCTACTGAGGCTAAGGGATCAAGATGACACAAAGAAAGGAAAAGCTTCTGTTTGTCACAGCTAGCTGATTAGAGCACTTCTTCCCTTGGTGTCTATAGGCAGGATTTAGCTTTTCACCTCATGGTCTTCCTTAACAGAAAATCCTGTCACTTTCTCTAAAGCTTCTAAAGCGATTAAGCCAGGGGCAGACAACATGCCCACGATCCAGCTGGGAAATTCCTATGCTTCTATACCCACGTGGTTTCATACTTGCAGGGGAGTGCTTAAGTCAGCTCACAAGGAGTGAAGAAGGGCCAGACTTGATCCATGAAGTGCTGACACTGACACTTTATTCCATAACGCCCTGATGTACCAGTGAAACACTAGTGTTTCTGCTGCTGCTGATAATACAGCAGCAAAGAGGTAAATGTACACCTCCGGGCCCATATTAAAAGCCAATCCTTGTTTCACTGTTAGTAAATTAAAAAAAAAAGTAGATAAATTGACTATTTTTATTTAAAACAACTCCATCTCAGCAGCAGTGGCTGAGAAAAAAAAAAAAAAAACAAACAACAAACCTTACCTTAACCAATGCCATAAGGTCAGTTGAAGATTTGTTTGTATCCTCCTGTTCGAATTCAGGGTCTTGGTCTGTAGTTTTGGAGTCATTTACTTCATCTGGAAGTGGCTGCACATTGTCCCATTTCTCCTTTGTATACAGGCTCTGTTGCAAGGACATGACCAGCATGAAGAAATCAAGAGGCATTGGAACAAATCCACTGAAGTGCAAGCTACTGAGCAGTCAGATGCTATCACTCTGACAGATTAACAGAAAGAAATTTTTCCACCCTGTTCTTTCTGAAGTTTTGGCAACTTTAAAGGACAGAAGAACACAGAGGGAAGGGAAGAGCACGAACAAGAAATGAGCTGTCACCCTAACTTCTTTCCACCACCATAAAACTAGTTTCTTGATTAAAATCAGACTCTTTAAGAATACTGTCCAGTTAACACAGCCTTCTGAGAACTTTACCACGTAGGAGTGCCCTAGGCTAAGAGATCTGCTGCAACAGCATCCACACATTTTGTTTTTAAGTGGGAACTGAGTTGTGGTGGGGAAGCAGCAAGCTGTCAAGGCTGACAGGGCAAATCTAAGGTCTGACCAAGTCAAGAGCATGCACTGCATTTCCCTGCATTGAGAGCAGTTACAAGGAAATGCCAGCTGAGCTGTAACAAGTGTCACGTTAGACACGCTTCATTTCAACTCAAAACATGTTATGGGAATGGTGTTGGGCTTTTTTTGGTCCTGCTTCCAACTTCTTTGAAAAAGTGCATGGTACTCATATATCAACATATGTCAAACAACCTCTGGAGTTTATTCCATTGAATGACAGATATGTCACAGCCAAATGCCCACCTGATTACACAGTTCATCCTCATCCAGTCTGGAGCTTGATGCTTCATTATCTGCACCTACAGAATCCTGCTGCAAGCCAAGGTCTGGCTCCACCAGTTCAGCACTCTCCTGCTTTGCACTGGGTTGAACATACAAGGCTAAAGAATTCAATTCTTTGAATCCCTAGTAACAGGCAAACAACAAAAAAAAGCAACACACAGTACAGTTAAGAAAGCTAATCTGCAAATACCACCAATATCAGAAAGAAAAAGTGTGCTCCATGCAGTAAAGCTTGACTTCCTGCTGAGATATATAATCCCAGCAGCATTTTTCTCACGGTTTTCAGACCCACACAGTTCTTCCCAAAACAGAGCTGAGACATTCAGACAATGATACAAATTGGCCTAACTCATAACCACTCCCTGGTGCTCGGTTTATATCCTGATGTCTGTCCTACACAGAGCATGCAATCACCATGCTTACGCTGTCCCACACTGTATATTTCACTGGCAAACTAAGATGCTTCTAATCAAGACCATTTCTGTAATTCAGTTTGGTAATGGCATAACTGATCTTCAACGATGAGAGCATCTTCCTATAAGGCACCCAACGGATGCCAGCCCTGCGCTTTCTTACAGCACCACATTCCTCCCTCCTGACCTGGGAGGGTAAGTTCTCTTTGCAGATGTCAGCATATCCCTTATCCTTCAAGACAGAGTGAATGTAGACATCTTCCTCAGAGGATGTGTCGCACAGAAAGAGATGCAAAATGCCATTCACGTATTCATCCACAATGCCCACAAGGACCTTAGAGTAACACAGCTCCTGGAACTGGAGAGTTGCCTCACTGGTCCACGTGTCCTCAAGAAGAAACAAGAGTATGATGTTACTATAACAGACCAGAATCCATCACCTGAGACTTTCCCTTCTGAGCACTCATCAAGATGACAATTAGGCCAAGGCAGCTAGGGATAAAAATGCAGGGGGGAAGGGAGAGGAGGGGGGAAATTCAGGCAAACTTTCTAGAACTGAACTAAATTAAACTACCCCAAAGTTTGCAAAGCCAGTTACACTGGGAATACCTTCTCACCGTCAGTACCTATTTTCAAGTGTAGTCATTTTATCTTATCTATGGGGAGGGGGAAGCGGCGAATTCCTGGAACCATGAGATTATGAAAGTTAAGTGCCAGGAGTTTTTACAGAGCTGCTAATGCCTCACTGCAGCGTGGATCTTCGGCCCTCAAGAAGCAAAGTTTTTAAGAATGTTTTCAAAACACAAATTTGATCTAGTCTTTCCAATGCAGAGCATGGGAGCACATTTCCCAGACTTCCTGACCATGAGATTTCTCAGGAGAGGCTGACCTGAGCTTTGGCTTTTTGGATTGCACCAAACTCACTTAAAGCTTGGTCTCAGAAAATTTTACAACAGGGCTGAATCTATCAATGTTTTAGAAGGACCCTGGAGATCTACTGGAGGGGAAAACAAATGCTTGCTCATTTGCTTATCAGCTACCTGTTTCTGAAATTATATGAGCAAGAATACTACATAGGCATAAAGAAGAAACAATGAAAAGGTTATCACTTGCAGAGAAGCAGTCGCATTCCACTGAACATAACAGCAACAATTCTGCTATAAAAACATCAGAGGGACCTGAATGAATCCAAATATTTGTCCTTATCTTGACAAAAAAGCCTCTCTCTTCTTGACAGCTCCTATATGTACGCCAGTAAACAAAACTGCATATGAACACACACCTCCACAGGCTTCACCCATGCCAAGGAACACGGGATGGCCTGAGCTGGCAGCTTCAAGTAGCACCATCTGCAATATAAAACAAAGTCATGGCCATTAGAGCAAACTCAGAGCAAAAACAGACAGAAGAGCAGAACTTACTCCTCTTCTGGGTTTTAAAAATCAACTTAGGAATAAAGAGTGGATTTATGATTAAACCCCAACAGTAACTTTGGAAAATATCCAGGGAACAGGCACAGAAAGAACTGCACTAACAACTGATCTCTTATGCCTTCCCTAGTCCAAGCATCTTTCTATCATAACCCCTCATGATTACAAAGTTATGGACAGAGAATAATGACTTTTGAACCAAAGAATGAAGCACAGAAGATGTTAAATTGCAGAGGCAAACAAGTACCTCTGACACCAAAAACGCAGCCCATTTCAACTGATGACTACTGAAGAGAAAGTTTACACCCGCTCGTGGAATCTAAAATGAGGATGAGATCCAACCTCAACCACCCTGTGATTCTGCCAACCATGTGTAATCTACTTACTTGAGGAACCTCAGCCAAGACTTCTGAACAATGCCTACATTCCCATAATCTGGGTAGAACACCTCCACTTCTTGGTCACTGATCACACGGTGGATGATAACCCGGTACCACCACTGCAAGAACATCACACAGCAAAGCTGTCCAGGCTGTACCGAAGACTCAGGCATGATGTAACGATCAGAAACAAGTTTATTTGAATAACAGCATCTGCAAAACATCGTAAGGAAAGATTGTGCTTGGAGAGATGCAAAAGATGAACACAAAAATCCATAGGATTTCACAAGAATCCTGGTTTCTCAAATCCCAGTGACAACATTTTCAGATGTTTAAATGGATGCTTTACATCACTTTTCTGCTGAACTTAAACTGAAATGACTGTAAGAAATGCAAACCTAAATTTCAACATTTGAATGCCCTCCCTGGGGTCCAATTAAAAAGAGAAATCCTTAGAGGCTAAATACAGTCATTCTGGTCATTACCTTTTAACATTATCTGGCTAAATCACTACTTATTAAAAAATCAGATTCTGGAGTATTGGCTACACATCATCTGTAGTGTTTGCCTGCAGAATTTGTAACTCCACTTGTACGTGCCCCGTGGACACCGGGTGCTTCCTCAACACACAGCAGTTCTGTAACTGCTGTCAACTGTGCTGGAAGAGAATCTCAAATGCATAATGAAACTGACAGTCACTGACGAGGCTTGGCTTGCTTTCAAATACACACTGTTTGCTCTGAAAGTAATGCTTCCTATTTTCACAGTAACCACAACAATACACAACACCACTATTACAGAATATTCACCTCTGACATCGTGAGCAGACATCATACAGGAAGCATTACTTTGAAGCAGCCCTTGTACATGATGGCAAGTGCATACTACTCACTGCTTTTTGACAAGCATTGGAAACGGAAGGAAAAATTTTAACTGAGCCCATTAATAACACAGAAAAGAGGCAAAAAGGAAGATAAAAATCCCCCCTCTGGAACCTTTCTATTCTTTTACAGTTTAGAGCTGTCCAGATCACACCCAAGCAACTGCAAATTGATAGTAACCGTACTTTTGGCTTGCTGATCAAAAGGAATGGATAAGCGCTATGAACACGTGTTTAACAGCACAAGTTACCAAACCAGCTGTAATCATTACTATCAACTACCATAACTATCATAACTAGCTGGGTGTCCTTTCTCTCAGTACAAACACAACAGGCAGTAGCATCTATCAGCACAGAGTGTTCTCACCTCATCTCAATCATGAGATCCCACAGTTTATCAGAAGTTTCTGCGCTGCAGACATGGATGTAGAACTCACCAGGAGAGACTATTAAATTCACTATTACTCCCACCAAGCACTTTGTCTCCAGTGGAGGTAAACTGCAAAGTCTTCTGTCCTGAACTGCATCTGGAGGGATGTCTGAAGTCACCATCATTATATCCAGCCTGGACTGTCCCAAATCTTGAGGCTACAAAGAGATTAGGGAGTTGGTACTCACATCTCTTCCTGCACTAAGCATACATGAATAACTGCTCCAGTAACATTTAGAAAAGAAAGAGTTTGCTTTGTTTAGAAACTATGAATTACTGAATATCAGCAAATCCCACCAGATGTGCAAACCTGGATTAGAACTTCCTCTGTGGGGGGAGCATTCATTCTCTCTTCTACCTAAAAGGAAGAATGAATGAAATCAGTCAATAACACTAGTGTAACAACAATACCATGCATTCCCATGAGGAGAAAGAGCTAGAGTCACGTCCTGACTTCTGTCCAGAAAACAGCTATTGCTACAATAATGTTTTTTAAAGTTTGCTGGATTTTACTCAAAAGATGCTATTTTCTATGCTCTGTGACCATGAAAGAGTATATGATTGAACCAGGAAAGCTACCTGAAAGTGATTCAAGTGACATTTTCACACTAGAGCTATTTCCCCAGGATAAAAACAAATGAGACCTACAAATTCTGTTCTTTTCTCACTCGAGAGATCTGCCTGTGAATGGCTAGTGCAGCTCAGAGTTTTTTGTGGAGGGGAACCATACATAAGCTACTCTCACACTGCCTCAAGAGCTTTCTTCTGCAGTAGTGAGCAGCGTTCCTCCAAAGATCAGAAGTCAAAATGAAATCATTTTGACCCATAATGAATAGACTACAAGTTAACAGTGCATTATGCACCAAGCAACACATGGGAAACGTCTTCCAGTACATACACCTTCATTTATCTGGCTAATCCAACTGCAAGCAACGTTTTTTTGCAACACTAACTCTTCTAAATGTTTTTTTCAAGAAGTAGATAAGTCTCTCCTTCTACAGACAGAGCAAAGGCCAATGCTCTTGAAGTTTTTGAGTTAAAATTTTTTGAGTGAAACATTAAGTTAAATAACAGCTGAGGAAATGCCTGCCTGAGCAGCAGATCAAAGAAAAAGAAATCCATGGCTGGAAATCCTTTAAGCAGCGCCTGTGAACAGAGGCATTTCTGAGGGACTGGTTTGCTCCTCTGAAGTTGGTTCATATCACCCTGTTAAGGGCATACACTATCTTCATAATCTAGTTTACACATCAGTAAAGATGTGTAAGATCACAAAAGAAACATGTACTTGTGAATATGCTTTAAAAAAAAAAATAAATAAAACAATAACAAGAGAAAACAGCGAAACACTAAAAGTGAGCCGTGCAATATGTTACAGCCTGTGGGACCAGCTAATCCTTTCCCTAAGACAGGCAGGCAGCTGCCACAGTGCTGTGAATGACCCTGGGCTCAGCTGTGGGTGAGAAAAGCGCTGAGAGCAGCAGCTCCACACACCTCTCCCCTTCTCAGAGCATTGACTCAGCCCGTGCTCCTCACATTATTAGTTTCCTGTCCATTATTAGCTTCTTGTGACAGGATACTGGGGTACCTTAGAGCAGGGCAGGGATCAGGTCTCTTCTTTCCCCTCCACCTTGCAGCATCCTGATGAACAAGCATTCACTGCATATCCCACATACCAACTACCTTTCCTCCCTTTTCTGGCTTTTTCAAAAACAGAAGAGCAAACTTAACGTCTCATGGGGAAAACAAGTTGAACAAACACCTTTAATGGCCTGAGCAGGATAAGTCTTTAACCGGATTCCCATTGTGATATGAAGGCTCAAAAACCTCACTTGAAGTCAGGGTTATCACAGTCCTCTTTTTCTTTTTTGCCCTTCAGATTCAACAGGCAGACTGCACTTGATTCAAGGAGAATTTCTGGCTGCTTCATCACACAGGTCTAAGACTTCTTTACAAGCTCAATGCTGACTGCCAGAGAGTTTGCTTTAGGAACGTGAAGTCCAGCCATAAGAATCAGAAAGATTGACATGATGGAAAGGTGATACAAGAGGTGTAATGACAGAGGGACTAATGCAATAGGAAGGCATTATAAAGGAAGGAAAAAGGACAGCTCACCCATCTCTGAAGATCTAGGCTTGCAGGGGAGAACTTCACCAAGGAGGGATCCCCAGAAAGAAATCCTTGCACAGTGGCTGTCAGCCCTTAAATGAGGTCTAAGAGAAGTACGGCCAGGCTTTACCCCTTCCTGTTGCACAGTTGAATTGCCTTCACCTGTGCTCCCAGGGCTGACCAGGTCTTTTCCCCAGGTGCCCAATCAGTGGTTCAGGCTGTGACTCAACAGTTACCATACACCAACTCAGACACAGACTTCCAAATGAACTGCAAAAAACACCAAAGTCAGGAAGAACTCCTGGGACTCTTTTCCTGCACTCCAATCCTCAGGTTGCATACAGCCACCTGGGAAGCTTGGCAGAGAGAACTACAGTAGGAAGGTGTTCTGGAGAGAAGGAAGGTAGGAAAAGAGAGAGGAAAAAAAAAAAACCAGAGGTGACAAATTCCCCCAACCTATTGGATCCTCTGAACTGCTCCTCTCCGTCTCCTTCTAGAAATACACTGTCAAACAAATTCAAAACTCTCAAAGTCCAACAAGAATGACAAGGAACCCCCACAACTTTAGACAGTGAATAAAGACTTACTGGTTTCCTTTAGTTTAAAAAAAAAAAAAAAAAAAAAGAAAAAAGAAAGAAAAAAGAATTCTTTTTGTGCCCCGCCTGAGCACATTATTTAGTCACCTAAGTGAAACTGTAGGGATCAAAGTCTCCACAAGAATCATCACCCAGCTTTGTCTTCCTGCTTAACTGGACTGCACAAGACACTTAATTCTGCCTACAGCAGCCCAGGAAATTCCAGAGCTCATCTTCAGATCACTAAGATGTAATAACAAATAAATACACAGAGTATTACCATAACTATCAGAGAACAAGATGATGGTTAACTGATCTTGGATGATCTTTAACACAGATCAGATGACCCAAAAGAGAGAATAGAAAGACTTAGGTTAGGATGGCATATGAAGCCATATCCCAGCCTGGAGTCTTGCCACTCCACATTAAAACAGGTATTAAAATTTTTGTAAGCAGCAGTGCATCAACAACACAGTCTCAACAGTAACAAAAGCAAGCAAAGAGCCTGCAATCTGGGATTAAGCCAAGAAGAAGCTACAGATCACTCATCCAGCTACTCACTTGTTTCAGGCCACCACCCAGACCTACTTCTTGTGCGTCCACTGGCTCTGACTTCTCTTCTGCTGCCTGATGAAAGATCTCTGTCTCACAGCTGGGTTCCAAAGGAGGCAGCTCAGCCATGAGTACTGCAAAGACAATAACTTGGCTATTATTCTTTCTTGGACTGATGCAGTTACATATTAAACAGAAAACACTTGAAAAATGAAAGCACTGGTTGCATTTTTCCAATCTCTTGTAGCATTCCGTTACCACGTTCACAAACTTTTGCTAGAGAGGCATCCTTCATAAATGAATTCTAGCTAGACAAGTCAGGAACCCTGCAGGTACTGCACACAGTTTTCTGCCATGGCTGTTACAGGAACAGCGAGTACACACACAGTCTCTTCTGTGTGAGATTATAGCTTAATCTTTCATAGTAGTATTAGTGAATTTTCAATCTCAAGAAGTGCACTGAAGGGCTCCAATGCCTTGTGGAGCAGGGCATTCAAGAGATCCTTCTACTTTTGTTATCTGCTGCCTACAACAGTTAGTTTCTAGTCCTCCACACAGGTTCAGAAAGCTTATATTTGGAAGGTACATCTCTTCTTTCACCTGCCACCAAAAACCAGTGGCAACTTGTAGAAAACTCCCAATTAAGCTCTCTGCTACTGAGACAACTCCTTAAACTACTTCTGCAGCACCACACAGACCTTTCTTGATTAATCAGAAGGGAACAGGGACTATTACAGCAACTGAAAATACAGCAACATCTACCGGAAATACATCTGCTTGTCCACAATGCTTAAAAGACCTACATGTTTCCAGCTAACAGATGCCTTACCTTGTGGCATCTTTTCCTGCTCTTTCTCACTTGAGGAGCTCTTTTTCAGGGTTATCAAGGAACCTCCTTTTGTCTCCTTAACCATAATTGTATCAGACATGCTTTTGAAAACTTCAAATATGGAGAGAAATCCATACTGCTTGTACTGGAACGTCCGCTTAAAGCGTGTGTAGTATGCATCATTGAAATCCAAGAGCAGAAGTGGTGAGGAACTCAAGAGATCTTGCAGCTCCCTCTTCACTGCTGCTGGCAGGACACCAGTCTTGCCCTTTGGAGGCAAATCCCACTGATTCTGAGAGAGAAAAGCAGGCTTTCCCTTCCTAGCAACACTCCGTGCTTTACCACTTGTTTTCTGTCTGGAAATCAGTTTGGAAATATCTTTGGTGGTCTCATCGGCAACAGCTACAATAGGAAAAAAATATTAGATATTTATTAGCTATTTGAAGACTGGAGCAGTAAACCATTCAAAGCTCTGCATAGGCAAAGCTGTTCTTTCCACTTTTCCCATTTTCCTTTTTAGACAGATGTCTCTTCTAAAAACAATCCTACTAAACCATGTGTGGATTTTAGTACAGCAAACAATTTTCCTTCCCCTCTGCAAAATGGACGGAACCAAATTTAACAGCTAATCTGCACCCTCCTCCCTATAAACCCAGACAGAAGGAAGGCTGGCCAAGTGCATACTGCATCACAAGAAGAAAGCCAGCTGCTGTGGGTTTTGTTGGAAAACAGTAAATGGTTCACTGCTTCTCTCAGCTTGAATTGCAGTACAATCTTAACACAGCTTAAGAGCATCAAGATGTTGATGAACTGAGTCTTGTTTCAAAGTGGCTATGAAAAAAGAATCCAACAGTCACCTCAACTCTTTGAAAAGGTAGATAACAGCAGGGCAAGCAGAAATGGTTTTAAGTCGAGGGAGGGAAGGTTTAGGTTGGATATCAGAGGGAAGTTCTTTCCTATTAGAGTGGTGAGGTGCAGGAACAGCTGCCCAGGGAGGTCATGGATGCCCTGTCTCTGGAAATGTTCAAGGCCAGATTGGATGGGGCCGTAGGCAGGCTGGCCTAATATTAAATGTGGAGGTTGGTGGCCCTGCATGTGCCGGGGGCGCCCCCCCCCCCCCCCTTGGAGATTCATCATCCCTGAGGTCCCTTCCAACCCGAGCCATTCTGTGATTTTAAGTTTCACAAAACCACAAGAAACTGCCAACAGCACTCAAAAAAGGGCTGTGTTTGTGCACCGGTTCTCCAGATCACCATCAATCCTAATACTCAAGCAAAAACAAGACGTCAGAATCACACCAAGAACTGGTGTAGAAGACGTCTCCGGAGGTAATCTGGTCACACACACCCCAGTAGCTCCAAACTAGAGCAGGCACTGATCTTCACTCACCTTCCTCACCTACTGCCTTTCTGTACTCTTAGCCAAACAACAGGAAACAGCTAAAACAGAAAGCACCAGAAATACCAGCAACAGCGGGGAGCTAGAGCCAGCCTTTGGGTGGGCACCCTACAGCAGACCCCTCACTTCAGGGCACCACTTCACCCTGAGGCGTAACTCCAGCAATCTTTCTCTACTTGCAAGGAGGAAGGTCTCACCTTTGAGGAGAAACCCTCCGTTGCCGTTGGGGCAGATCTGGACCACTCCCGGCATGCTGGCCACCATCTCCATGGTGGAGCAGAACCCCAGGTCACGCAGTGGCAGCGGCCTGCCGACCATGGCCAGATACTCCTGCTCCAGCTGGGCCGGGGTGAGGCCCTCCTTGGCAGCCAGCAGCTGCGACCTCACCTCCTTCTTCAGCAGCTCCATCAGCTGTGCCTGCTGCGACACGTCCGCGCTCTAAGAGAGACAAAAAGCGAGCAGAAAACACCTCACGCCAGGACTGCGAAAGGCTTTTTAACACATCACAACGAAAAGGCGGCAGGGCGGCAGGTCAGGCTCAACACTGCCACCACACCCCGGCACCGCCGCCTCAGTCACGACAGCGCGTTTCCGACACGACGCCAAGAGGCCGCACTGCGCCTGCGCGCTCCGTTCCCGCCTTTTCGGGCTGAGGCGGGGAGGTGCGCGTTGCTCTTCACTGCGCTCTGCCGACCGTGCGGCGCTCCCGCTGCCCCTGTTAGCTCCTCTACCCTGTCCCGCTACCCTGCCTGCTCTGTGGGACCGGCCCTCAGCCTTCACCTGGCGGAGCAGGTGCGCTTCCCTTCTGACAGGAAAAGTCAGGCCCACGTGTTAAAAAAGTTCTCTTTTCTTGAATGCAGTATTTAAACTCAAATGCCAGCGTTGGTCAGGGTGGTCCTGCACATTTTTGTCCCGTCTGAGAGGAAAGCCTACAGTGGAGTGCCTAACGTGTCATAAAGCAGCTGTTTTCCTACCGACTTCCATCCAGCTTTTCTCACCTATGTTCATCACTGCAGCAAGCTGGTGCACCTGCCCCCCTGCTTCTAACATTCCGACTCTGAGCAACCCAAAAGCCTGCAATAAAACAGGAATCTTTTAAGAAAACGAGATCAGCACCTCCCTGGCTGCCTTCCCCCTCCCTCCAGCAGCTCCTCCACATGACACATCTGCCAGAGGCTGAGTGGGAAACCCTGAGCTCAGCACTGCCCGACCACAGGGTTGTCACAGCTTGTATGTTTGAGCCTCGTTAGTGTGATTTCCAGTCAGGTATTGATTTCTTTCAGACAAACAGTGACACAGCATGATCTGTGGCACTCTTTGCACGTCTGTGCCGTATGGCAGCTCTTTGGTAAAAAGCTCCCACGTTTGCACTGCCTGACTTTTGCTGTGCAAAATTATGAAGGCGTTTTACACACAAACTCTACTGGCAATTTAGAGATAAATTCAATAGCTCTATGCTTGCAAGGACCTCCATGTTCATCACACTCAGAACTGGGAATTTATTGTGCTGAACACTCAGACCATTTGGGGTTTTGAGAGTCAAGCATCTTCTAGTTACTTTTAGGTTGTTTTTCAACAGCTTTGTAGAAACCATCTATTAAAAATCATTTTGATTGCATTTGATTTCCAAAGGCAGGAAGGTAAAACATAATGTCTTCTTGCAGTTCTCCCTGTTATGGTCTAACATCCTGTATCATCTCAACAGCCATGTGAAATGAAAGCAGAGCAGGAGGGAAACAGCTTTCTCGCTTCCCTGTCCATTTTGTATGACAAGCTTATGATAAATTTGAACAAGCCTCCTTGATCTAACACCTCCTCTTCTCTCCTCCCCTGCCTGGATTTTCTGCCTGCAGCAATAAATTCAAGCACTCGGGCACGGATTCATTCCACTCCCACAGGAAGCTGTATGCTCCTTGGTGCAGAGAATCAGATGAGGATGGATAAGAGATCTCGAAGCTCTTCCAGGGAGTCCCATAGGAGAAAGAGAGAGTCTCCAGCTACACAGAGGAAACGGGAGAAGAGGGAGAGAAGCAAAGAAGCCAGCAAAGAAATAGGAGATATAAGGCAGGAGAAAACAAAGGAGATTAAGAGCACTGTAGGCACTGATGGTAGGGTGCATACATCCACAGTGGTGGACGTGGATGATGTGATCTCTGATGAAGAAATGGAGGCAATGATGTTGCTGGACAGCGAGCATCAAGAAGAAGGTATGATTTATAGAAGGGAAGGGGCAGAAAAGCTACGGGCTCTTTGACACTGTGTGGGTGACAGTGTCTTTGCTTTCTGCATGGTGAGTGTTATCACCCGTTGCATAGATGTGTAATTGTCCTCAAGACAGATTATGGGAAGCTCCAGCCAGCTTCTACAGTCAGTACAGGCACATCAGTGCTGTCTAGCAAAGCAGTGAACTTTGAAACAAGCAGTTACATTCCCAGCATCATTTATGCTTCAGTTCACTACTCCCCTTTTTTTTTTTTCCTGCTCTTTTCTCATTATTTTCTTGCTTGCCCTCCTTTAGGCAGACAGAATTAGCTTTAATGCCAGTTCACAGCCCTAAGAACTGTGCTGTAGGGAGAATGCTTGAGGCATACAACCGTAACTCCCTTCAGGATAGCCTGAGTGCAGCTCTATTCTCTGAAATGTGGCTAAAATCCTGTTCCAGAAGACCCTGAGATCTTTTAGATTCCCCAGTGGAGAGGGGTATTTCAGGCTGTGAGTATTGAATATTGTGCTTTATTTGCAGTCTTTCTGTTTGCTTAATCTTTTCAGATAAATTTCTGTGATTTCGGGGTCAGCCAGCAAGTTGCCCATTCTGAATCTTTCAGTGCTGCTTAGTTGTCATATAGATCTACTGTGAAGAAGCCAAAAAAAGGAGAATTAAAATTTGTGAGCCTGTCTTGGAAATTCTTGACCACCAGGGACTGTTCTTGAAACACAGCTTGAGAGAGCACTGAATAGGCAAACACCAGGTCTAGGCAGAGGACCAGCAGAAGCTGACCTGTGCAGGCAGTCGTCAGGCCATCTGTATTTTGGGAACTTTCCTATCCTAATGGAGTCATGTTGGATTTCCCCTTAGGTATGAAGTCTCCCGGTCTCAACATCTGTGAGTGGCTTCTGACTGTATTGTCTTTCCTGTTCATCGTAATGACTTTCCCCATTTCTGTCTGGTTCTGCATGAAGGTAAGAAAGGCATGATGCCTTTTTGGATTTAGTATTTGGTGTCTGTTGTGACTGTAACCAGCATGTGTTGGTCATAAGCATATAGCTTATGACAGTTTGCAGGTCTGTTCACTTTTAAACATAATCTCCAGCTCACCCAATCCAAACACAGTTGTGTTGCAGCAGCAGGGTAAAATAGATTTTGCATTACAAATTTAAAGGGAGGTTGGATCTTTCAATTAATAGCAGATTTTTCTTCTTCCTTCAGTTTTCTCTAATTTATAGCATGGTTACAAGTAGACATATTTTGATTACAGCTTCTCAGGAAATAGATTAGGCACAAGGTGTTCAAATTCAGCCAAACTACAAGAAAGCAGAATGCTGGCCTCATCCTGGGAAATACTGAGCAACTCTAGCATGGGCTGCTCTCACCTAATCACAGGCTGATTATATGCAAGCCAGCCATCAGTTTTGGGTCAGGTTTTCTTCTGGGGTAAAGAGACTTAGGAACGGTTGACTCCACTACCTCCAATCTGCTGAAATCCTCTTTTCAAAGGACTTTACCAGAACAGAGGTCTTCCTATGCACAGCCCAGTGAGATTTTTTTGCTGGTCCTGTGCCTTCCACTCCAGCCTAGCTTTTGTTTCTCTCTGCAGGTAGTGCGGGAGTATGAGAGAGCCATTGTTTTCCGGCTTGGGCATCTCCTTCCTGGCAGGGCCAAAGGGCCTGGTAAGATGCTCACTGAGTTTCCCCCAGCCATATTGTTCCTCTTCATCATGCTCTACCAAAGCTCTTGTCCTGGTGCCCTCCAGGCAGGTACAGTTAACCAGGAGACACGTCTTCTTAGGTCCAGCAGCTTCCAATGGCTCTTCCCAATACAGAATCAGACTCACAATTTGAGCCTATATATTTGCTGTTCCTTCATAGTTCTGTGCTCAATCCCCTCTACTGCTCCCTTGAGCTGAAGAAGCAATTTCTGTGGTTTTGATGATCACCAAAAGATTTTCTTTTCTTTCCACAGGTCTTTTCTTTTTCCTTCCCTGCCTGGACACATACCACAAAGTGGACCTCCGCCTCAAAACCCTAGAGATCCCCTTCCACCAGGTATGACTACCATCCCTTCTTTACATTAATTCTTGGATCTCTTTATCTGGTTGTATTTGATGACAGTCCTGATTTTGCATTGACGTAAAAAAAACAGCTTATGCTTAAGATAGTGATTCTGGTTCCATGTCACTCCACTGGGCACTAGATACTGTTAAGCACTGCCAGTTCTTAGGGTCTTGCTGCAGATCTTACATCAAGCCATTTCTGCAAAGCCTCAGCTGCTGGATTCCTGTGACTGTATGAGACATGTCCTTTACCTCTCTGCCATTTTAAAACCACTGCTTTTAATCCCGTTCAGTTTGACAAGCTTTAGTGGTAACCAATAGGAAGTGGCTGAGCCATGGATATTGGAGCAGTTTTTACCCATCACACTGAGGGTACACACAATGGGGACAGGAAAGCAGACTGAGACCTTACAATGGCGTCTCTAAGTGTGGCAACTCTGCTCTTGTACAAGTCAGGGAAAGAGCTGAGAGCTCACTGCTAACTTTGAAACTGGCACCCTCCCTAGCCACAGTCCCACAGGTCAAACCTCCCAATAGTCCTGTTGTCTGTGCCACTGCCTTTATCTAATACCATCAGCAGGTTCCCTCCCGTGGTGTAAAGCAAGTCCCTCTGGGGATGGTACTCAGCAACACCGAGCACATAGCAGAAAACAGGAATGGAGCAAGCAGCTGTGGGCCAAGAGACACATGGGGATGTTTGACTGCTCGCAGTCTCTAGCCCAGCAACCAAACTCAGGAGACAGACACAACGATGCTATACCAGGGAACTGAGATCCACAGGTGATGCAGTTTGCCTAAGGTCAGAGAGTAGCAGAGGTGACAACTACAAAGATGTACCCATCTACCTAGTCTTCCTCTTTCCCAGAGTTGTGTACTTTTCTGTGCTACCTTAAAGTTGTCAGAACCAGATCCATCTTCCCTCATGTCTTCTGCTTAGGTGGTGACTAAAGACATGGTTACACTGGAGATAGATGCTGTCTGCTATTACCGCTTGGAGAACGCCTCTCTTCTCCTCACCACCCTCACCAGCATCTCCAGTGCCATCCAGCTGCTGGTGCAAACCACCACAAAGCGCCTCCTGGCACATCGAGCCTTCTCTGAACTTCTGTTGGAGAGAAAGAGCATCAGCCAGGAGATAAAGGTGCTTCTGCAGCTGGGGAGAGGGTGGAGCAAGCAGGGAATTTAGGCTCTGCTAACAAGCTTGGAAGATAATCAGTCCTAAATCACAGACAGTATTTTGCAAAAGAGTGCAATAGGAACATGTGCCTCCTTCATTGAAAAGAGGGAAATTTTCCTCTTTTTAAAATCACTTTAGGGGAAGGAATTACAATGTGAGATTCACAAGCATATGTGGGTAGTAGCAAACATTGTGATGTGAGAAGCGTGAAGGAACCCCTTAAATCATTTTCATCAGTGCTCTGCAGTACCTCAGGTTCTGTGCTTATTCCAGAGAGGACTTTCTCAGGAGAATGGTTTTCTGCTGTGCGAGAGAGATGCCATAAACCCTGAATACACAGGATCTTCAGCAGCAGTTCTCTGTGGCCACCGTATGCAAACTTTATTGTACCACTCAGGAACTGAATGTTTCCTATGGAATTGGATTGGTTCTACAGTCAACCAGTATGGACTAGCTAAATCATACTAAGGGCAAGTACAGATCAGAAGTGAGGGATGTAATTTTTATTTCTGAGAGTCCACACACAGTATATAATAAATCCGCCTCACTGCCTTGAATTAACGTTCCTGAACTTCTAAGTCCCTCTGAGGAGCCTGGAGAAGGGCTTGTGTTCTCCTTGTGCTCTAAAATATCTTCCTCTTGACAGGTGGCTTTGGATGCGGTCACAGGCTGCTGGGGGATCAAAGTGGAGAGAACAGAAATGTAGGTAGGAAGTGGTGGTAGCAGAGACTTTCTTGCCCTTTTGCAAGTATCCATTCTGCTTTGCTCACATTTCTTCTTTACCCCTGGCCCCCTCCCTGCAGCTCTTCTGCAGCCCTCACCTCCTTGTTTTCACTGCCCCTTTCAAACCTCTGTCTCACATGAAACTTTCATGAGCAAAGATGTTACTTGCTCCTGCACTGACAGCCAAATGCAGAATCCTTAGCTGGAATCTCATCAACTCTTCTGCAGTTCTTCTAGCCTAAGAGTCACACAGGCAGTGAACATGCCCCCCAAAGTCCTCAGGGTCTTAGCAGTGGTTGGTCTCAACTCTCAGAAGCCTGTAGAGAAAGGTGGGACTTGCTCATCGCATAGAGGGCCGTGGAAGAGAGAGCCAGGCAGCAGAGAAGCACATCTGTAAAGAGAAGGAAATTCCTGTGGCTGTCTTGAGAGCAGTCTCACAGTGGATCCTCTGATACCTCACAGACTTCATAAACCTAAACTTCAAGCCTCAGAGACACAAACAGAAAAGGCCTCTCTGCTGCCTAGTGATTATGTACATCACTAATGATCTAGTTATCATTAGAATTATTTTCTAATGATTCCAGCTTGGATATGTACAAAATCAGACTGGAAAAGAAAGATTGGAACAGAGGTAGAATACTAAAGGGAGTAATTTATAGAGGGACACGCAGAGAACAAAGGATGTTTGTGAACACCTCTGTAGAGACCAGTACTTGAGCCCATTCTAAGCCCTAGAGGGCCAGCACAGGGCTGTCAGATGAGCCTAGAGCCCTTCTAATCCTTATCCTTCACTACCACAGCAACAACGTGCAGCTGCCTGCTGAAGTCCAGCAGTCCTTGGCCGTGGAAGCAGAAGCCCAGAGGCAGGCCAAAGTGCGGGTATGCGAACACTGAAGACCTCCCATCTCCTTCCAAAGCATCGCTCTTTCCTTTCCCCCACCCTAGTTTGAGGTCTTTGGAACATACCACAGTAGGGTACAGCTCTGGGAAGATCTGTTCAAGATGTTCAGATCCTGTTCAAGAGCTGTGTCAAGCAAGATGAGCTGCAGCATGGGCCAGTGCAGTGGAATCCCAGATCTGGTACCTATGCACAGGTCAGAAAGACACATAAGAGGCTGGTGTCATCCCTGACCACAGTGCCTATGAAAACCTCTCCCTTCTCAGGGTTTCACTCTTGCTTGGAGACCCAGCCAGGAGGGCAGAGCTGGGCTGCCACTACTGTCATGTACCCCACACCATCCTTACCCTGGGCTGTCTTCCATACCTTACACTGAGCCTAGGTAGGATTTGTGTCCAAGTACCCTTCTTACAAGCTTAGCCCGTGGGCTGCCCTCTCACATGCTTTCGCAGCACACATGTGCCCAGTTGTAAGCTCTGATGGAACTAGTAGCACCCAAAGTACACATAGCTTTGGTGAAAACAAGTGAGACGCGAGATCTAGTACATGCCATGATCAGAACTGCAGGAATGTTACAGGGGCCCCAGAAAGTTCATGGTGGCAACTTCCCTCTGTAAGTAGCCTATGCTGGGGCCTTACTCCCTGCCTGACAAAAATCTTTATTCTCCTCCTTGGTAGGTGATTGCTGCTGAGGGGGAGAAGGCGGCTTCTGAGTCCCTGCGGATGGCAGCTGAGATCCTGTCCAGTGCCCCTGCTGCTGCTCAGCTCCGTTACCTTCATGCACTGCACTCCCTCGCTGCAGAGAAACCTGCTGCCTTCATCTTACCCTTACCTTTGGATCCGACAAATCTGGTCTCTCCAGCTACCCGCAGCCCTCCAGGAGTGAGCAGCATCATCACAGACACCTCACAGCTCCCAGAAAGCGTGAAAGACAAGAAGGACTCACCCATGCTGTAAGAGTTCTCCCAGAAATAGTTGCTATAAGCACTGGTTAATCCTGCTCAGAGAGAAGCAAGATGGCTGATCTATGGGGAGCCCAACAGCAGGTACTGGACTGGAGACAGGAGGGAAGGCAGCCCAGACCTGTAATATAAAAGTAGATTGTACATGAAAGAAGCTTCTGCTTGTTTTGGAAAGGGAAAAGTATGGAGCACAATGAGCAGTGTTGGTGCATATGTGAGCAGGGGGCTGAGGGAGAAGTATCATCCCTTCCCTTTCACATCAGCTGATGCACCTTGACACAAAAGATCCCTGGGATCTGATCTGTCCTACCCTCATCACATTGGCAGGAAAGCCTGATAGCTTCTATATGTTTAAACACCCCCATCTCCAAACGAACAGCCTGTCACACATCATTTGTTACAGGGAAAAATCCACAGTGGGATAAAAGAGGCAGGCACAGGTTGCCTCCTAGGAGGGAATGTCTTATCAGAGGGCATTGTTTTCTAGTGTCCTTACACTCAGGCTTTTGGGGTTTTCCCTTTCACAGTCTTAGCTGTGTTAGCTTAGTTTTTTTTTTTTAATAAAAGCAAGTCCTGCAGCTGGGTGGTAAACAAAGCCAAGGCAGAAGTTCTTGGATAGGAACATGCTCCTCCTCACAGCCCACCTCTGCGTGCTGCATCCTGAGAAACTGGGAGCAGTTGGGTGCTACAGGTGGGAGCTTTGCTAAGGTGCCTTTTCCTCTGTGTGAATTGGGGAAAAGACAGCAGCCAGGCAGGTGGGGTGGGAGACTGACAAATGAGGGAAATGGGAAGGGCTTAGCAGGTAATGCAGGTAATTACATGCAGGTAATTTGGTAGGTGCTGCCAACCTGGTTCTCCTTTGACAAGAGAATGAGCCAGGTCTTGTCCATGGTGCACTGGATATAAGATTTCAGATGCCACCCATACATTATACATATTTATATATATATATATTTATATATATTTATTTAGTAGGCAACCAGGATGTTTAGTCCTGGAGACTAAGGAGAAAAGCAGGAAAGTGGCAATGCTTGTGTCTTGCTTGCTTGTGTAGAGGGAGGAAGGCAGGCTGTGCTGCTACATGCTTCCACTGGGTGGTGAGACAGGACAACATCTGAGCTTGTGAACCTCTGCTTCCAGCAGGACTGTCTGAAAATACAAGGAAGATGACCCATTTAGCCAACTCCCACTGAGCTGAGAAGTGGGAATCCAGCACTAAACAAAGAGCCAGCTAAAAGCCTTGAGAACAATTGTTTTGCCCACTGCAGCCACTTTACATACTGTAAGCTTTTACCTTGATAGACACGGGGCACTGCCAAACTCACAGGGAAGGAATGGAGAAAGTCCTCAAAATTCCTGTAAGATTTTCCCTGCCGAAAGCTACTTGAAATAGCTTTACATACTGTAAGCTTTTACCCTGAAAGACCTGGGGCACTGCCAAAGGAAATAACACAGTGCCCTTGCTTTCTTTGCTCTTGGTTCCTTTGGGTGGACATCAACTCTGCTCTTCTCCTTTCACTTGACCTGCAGCATCTACTCCTGCTTCCAAGCAGATCTCCCTGGCGTGCTGCTGGCCAGTAGAGGCCAAAGGAAATTTTGTGTCCCCTGCTCTTAATCGCCCACAGTAGTTTCCCATCATCCGTGTGTCCAGCAGGGGTGGACCGGCCAGCTGCTCACTCTTGATTTTTCACTCATTTTTCTCAGTCTCTCTTGGCCTGCTAGTTACATTCACACACTTGGCTCATACCATTAATTAAGACTTCTGGGACGTGGAACTGTGTCTCAAGGATGGTCTGCAGGTACTGGTTTAACATTTCTACAAGGGACAAAGAGTCTACTTGAATAAGTATCAAGTAATTTTGTATTTAATCAGCTCTTTCCTCTCCATGAAATCTCCTTCTCCACACTCAGTGCTCCATGTATCTCACTCCACTAGTATTTGCTAGTCTTCTTGCAGCAGGGACTCTCAGTACACTAGTCTCCTTAGAGGTGGTTGAGAAGGGGAAAAAAAACAAAAAACCTCACCTGTGAACTTAGTGATCACACTGCATCTGAGCTCCAGATGTAACCTCACATCCAACTCATTCTACCACTATAACTGCAGCTGGCTGGCTGCAGGATTCCATTGGCTGCTGCTTGTAGGTCTGTAATAAAACTCACTAGTGATCTAGACACAGAAAACTAATTCTGGGAAGCTCTGTAATCTTCCACTGACGAACATGAGCTTTATATTCTCTGAGGCTGGTTCTGTTTTTGTTTTCTCACGATGCTGGAATAAGCCCCTGCTTCCCAACCAGAGCAAAAGGGTGTAAACACCACACAGAGTGACCTACAGATGATCCTTTCTCTGAGCACTTCTCTGGCTATATTTCTAACTTCATGTGAAACGATCCAACCAGACCAAGATTCCTTGGCACATCAAGGACCACCACCTCTGCAAGTAACGTCTGAAAGGAACAGTGCTTGGCCAGAAACACGTGGTATGAGGCCAGGGCACACATTACCCTATTTGCACTCATTTTCAGAAGTCAGGTGCATCTTTCTTCAAACATGCAACTTTTCTACAAAGTTGCAGAAAAGGCAAATGACAGCTAATTGCTTCCTCAGTTCCAAGGAATCCTTGTTCCAGCAGGATTTTCTCTCTTTAACGTGTACAGAGTTGGCAGAAACTTGTAATTTTACCTTCAGGAGGTATAAACTCAAAACCTCAAAGAAGGAAAACATCATTTAAAAATGTGCTTCAGTGTTACTGATATATGGTAGGTTCCATAATAGAATTTACTCCAGGGGAATTGGCAGGGGCTGTTTGGAGCAGACATGATTCTTGACAGCTTCAGAGCTGAGACTGGGTCAAACCTCAGAGTCATGCCAAATCCAGGCAGCTGCTCCTCTCCTGGCAGAGCTTCATAACTACTCAGATTATCCCAGGCTGGTGCCTGACTGAGGCAGAAGCCCTGGGGACCACCTCTGTGGGTGGTTTGGCTTTTCCAGGTTGCAGGGGTACTGCATGTGGGTGTATCAGCATACAGAGAAGGTGAACAAGCTGTAGAGATGCTAGAGCTGTGGGGGGAAGTAGAGCACAAGACAGGTGTGGAAGTGGTAGAACCAGCTAGAAGAACAACACAAGTGCCCAGATGGCAGAGGGAAGAGTGGCTAATATGGAATAAAGGCAGTGGACTGGAATGAGAAACTATTCTGAATAGTCACCAAGAAACTGCTCAGGCATTGTTATTTTTTATTTTTTGCTTTTTCTGGATTGCTTGTGCTGGCCAGAGGTGGAAGTTTTGGGAGTTGAGCAGGCTTCCCCTTCAGGCAAGCTTTCTTGTAAACATTTTTCTGAAAGGAGAAAAAAAAACACAACAAAAGCCTTTAAAATGCAGAGTAAATACATTTAAAGTATTTTAAACAAATTAGTCTCTCTTCTTACTTTGATATCAAAGAGAATATACACTAGAGTGTTAAGAGGAGATGTTTTAATTTCCACTTATTCTCCTTCACATCTTATTTCTGAGCAGATCCAGCCGAGAAAGGAAATATATTCACTTACAAGAAACATGCCACCTAAAGAACTCACTGCCACACCACGTGGGCAAAACCAAGCCATCAGCAGCTGGAGACAGCAAGAATGGCCTCTGCTACAAACACAAAAAGTATGTGGGATATGAAGGGACCTAAACATTATTTCTTTTCTACCCACAAATCAGTGATTCTAAACAGACCTTGACTGTAACAGTACTGAAAGGGAAGGTGAAGCCAATTACAGTGGCATCTAATATCTAGAATATATGTAGGCCTGGTGTCATATGGCAAAATCAAAATTATTTTATCTCAAAAACAGACAGAGTTCAGCAGTTCTTTCTGACCCAATCTGGAATGAGAACAAAAGCCTCCCTGCTTAGCTTCTGACAGCGAGTCAAGACAAGACCCTGGGACGCGCTCAGGAAGAAAGGAGCATGTGCTAAGTGGGACATGAATGAGGTATCCTCAAAAATTGCTTCCTGCTCTGAGTCCAGGAGAGGTTCAGATCACTGATTATCCTGACCTTGCCCTTCTTTAGGTGTTGGTTCTGGGACGACTTTGCCCCTTTTCTCCAGCTCACTCTCTAGCTCCTGGATTCTCTCCAGGGCTTCTTCCAGCTTCTTCTCAAAATCTTCAGATCTCTGCTCTGCATTCTGAGCACGGATTTCTGTTTCTCTGAAACAAAGAAGCAAAGATAATGCTGAAACTTGAAATCTAAGCAGGTGCTGGTAGAATACTTAAAAGAAAGATTTAGAAAGCTGAAATGTGCAGTGGAATTGAACAACTCTATAAAATACAGTTGTGGTTTCATAGAAGGGCATTGTAAGAGATGGAGACATCATTGCACAGCTATGCAAGCCTGCAAAGTGAATTCATTTTAAACTCAGCATTTGCTAACAAAGTGTTAAAAGTATCACATCTTTAGCTAACATCACAATCAACGGTTTGAGACAATCAGAAGAGAAAGAGACCCAAAACTAAGCTAACAGAGATGGCTGAAGCAGAGCCTAATCAGAAAGCAGAACAGATATAAATGGAACCCTGCCCTGTTTATCCCTCCAGCATAGAACCAGTACTCACATAAGCTGCACTTGCAGGTGTTCCAGCAGTGCCAGGGCTTCAAACTCTTTCTGAGAAAAGGGAGTTGACGACTTGCTGGCAGTCATCTCTCTCTGGTTGGAAAGAGCACAATCTTCCATAAATGAACATGAAACCAACAATGCTGCATTTCATCTAGAATATTGTTTGGCTGGACACTGCTGGTGTCTGTGTACATGGTCACGACACAGACAAGAGCTCAGTATCCATAAATCATGCAAAACCAGAGGTTAAGTCAAGCATTTTCTTTTGATTGGATCCAATCATGTATTGACATTAAAAATAGACTAAAATAACTTCCTGATTTGGACACAAATATCTCACTTGCACTTAGTCTTGGTTGCATGATTGCCCATGCATCACTGGGTTACAGATGTTGGAGATGGCTGTAGCCTGACCAGGAGTGAAGTAACTAACAACCAATGAAGAAAAGAACCAGGACTTTTATGGAGTCCCATTGAAAGACTCCTAATCTAAGCTTAGTAAGGTTACCATGATTTCCAGAGATTCATTTTTACTAACCAATCTAAGTCCATAAAGAAACACTCCTGAGTCTCTCACTATCACTGCACTACCTGCCTGCCTCTAAAGCATTGAGAGCAAGGCACACTTAACAATGCAGCATACTTAAGGAGTAGCAATATCCACTGACAGTTTGCTAAAGCTCCACAATTCACATACATCTGGGCTCTGCTCTGAAGGTCTGACTAGCTAGGAAGTGACTGGAGAAGGCAAACTGTATGACTTCTGAAGAGCAACTTTACAAACTGATGCCTTTAGCCTGGACTACTCTTCCAAAGAGTACAATCCCAAAGGTAAGTGGAAAAAAATAGAGACCCAGGAGGCACAGTTGGCCAAAAGCAACCTGAACTTCTTGCACTCCTACTGTTCTGAATATCCCTGAATCTCTTCTGTGTATTCAGCACCGTATTATTTTTACCAGGAAGTGCTGGCAACACTCAGTCTCTGATAATAGTCCTAGTTCAGACTACACACATCACCTGTGACTGGACCCAACTTCATGGTACAGGGCAGGAATGCACGAGCCATGTGGATGAACTGAGGCAGCAGAAATTGTGCTAATGAATATTTTGTAGTGGCAAGAAGAGAGATTGAGAACACCAGCACCTTTCACTCATGCAGCAGGTCCGATATAAACATTGAACAGTGTCTGACAACAAATAGACAGCTAAAACCCAGCTCCAAATCTCTGCCACGTGTGCTAAAAACATTAGTGTAGTGGAGATTCCTACCCCTGTAACTGAAATGATGTCTGACTTCAAGGATTTCAGGTGGATGTTGGAGTCTTGTCCTACATATCTGATCACGTCTGTAGTAGTTTCATCACCTTCACTCATATCATCTGTACCAGCACCTGGTTCCTCCTAAGAGAGAAAATGAACAAGAAATAGGAGAAATATCACTAGCTTAGTGACACTGTAGGTAAAAGGCCACGTTTCCCATCACGTGCACCAAGCAATAAAAAAATCCCAACTCTGCTGGAAAGTAGCATATTGCAGCTACTCCTGTCACCTGCATAAGGACGATTTTCTCCTTTACTGTTGATGTTTCTTTCTCTGTTATTTGTTTCTTTTCACTGTTGGCATCATCAGCTTTAAGCCCTTCTTGAGTTGAGGAAATGATAGTGTCCTTAAGTTTCAACTCCAATTCCTGTAACGCACCACAATAATTTGGTTAGTACCAGAAGTCCCTTTTGTCCATCCAAATAACCCAGGCAAAATGGCTGGTCTCTGACTTCCTCTTGCACACATTTAAACTTGGGCTTCATATATCTCATAAGCAGGACCCACTATGGTATATTTGCTTTTTATAGGCCATTGTATAAGGGGGAAAAAAAAAGGGCAACACATGGCCTACAGCAGTGGCAGTATACTGTAGTACTGCCATACTAGTCATAAGTACACAGTTACTCACGACAAATATCACTCTGCTTGAGGACTGAGTTGAGAGCTGATGCAAATAATTTGTGCATCATTTAGGAATAGGAAAACTATTTCCTTGTCATCTGAATTTAGGTTATGTATGACGTTACATCAATGCCAGGCCAGCCATCTATAAAACACGTAATTGTCACAGGCAGTGTCAGACACCCATTTCATATAAAGAATTGACTAGAAGTTCAGCCTGATTTGGGCAAGCCAACCAAAAGAATTCCAGCTTAAGTCCACGCCAAAGGATGAAGCGAAAGCTAGCAGGCACCATGCTGATCTGTTCTACCAGTGCAGTAATACCTCGTAGCTACAGGGAAGCTTCGGTTTTGCCTCAGTAATACCCTCACAAGAAGCACAGTGATTTTTAACCAGTTTACAGTCTTCATTCTTCAAAGCTTTAACTGCAGCTTTGAGTACATGGAGGTCTCCATACTGGATCTTCGCTCAAATTGAATCATAGCTGCTTGCTTTAGAAATTTTAAAGCAGATCTTCATTCAAACTGGTTCAACATAGAACAGCAAATGCAGTCAATATGTGTACCTCTGATCCAAAGAGGTTTCTCAGTTCTTCTAAATGCAGAAAGGAGACTGGAGTGCCTTTGATCTCTGAAAGGAGAAGGCTACACACTTGAATCCAATTACAGCACTCAGTCTGAGAAGACATAACAGAAAAAGAGGCATTATTGATTAAAAAAAAAAAATAATAATAAAATAAAAAATCTGTGATCATAATTATTCAGTCAGTTAAATAATTCCATCTGTCTTTATCTGTTCCAGGGACATGAATGGACCCTTCCATTCACACCTCACAGAGCAAATGGAAGACATTTCTCCAAGCTTCCAGATATGGTATCCATCACTGTCTAATTACTCAATTCCTTCAACAAGCTCCACCTCAGGCCAGCAGAGAAGGTCTCTGTCCCAGCCCATGTGGGGAGAAGTGAAGGAAAATCTGAAAGTTTACTTTTTCACTTGCAAAGCTAACATGGAACAGAAACTTTCCAGTCCCTGAAAAGAAGCTTCTTAAATTCCTTGTAAAAATCTCATCTGTTCTGTGCTCAGTGCAGTGTTAGGCTTTAAGAAGGGTCTACATCTCAGGTTCCTAAAACACAGACAAAGCTTAACTAAACACTGAAGATGACAATGGTAGCAATTACCAGAGGAAGAAACGTACACGCTATCACACTCCTTGCACTGCTTCAAATAAAGATGCCATCAACACACACTTTCAGTAAGAGCTCCAGTATAGAGTCAAGGAGACTAGGCTAGCTGACAGCAAAACACTTCAACAGAGTCTGTATAATGGTATATTGCACCAAACACCTCCAGAAACTCCCAAGCACTGCTCAAATCTCAATTTACATGGCTCTGACAAGCTTTAATGTAGAGATGAATCTGCTGCCATTCATACGGAATAAATCTAGCAGGATATCCTGAAATGAGATAAGGAAAGTGTTAAAACTGAGTCGTGTTCAGTTTTATCCACTTTCGTGGAGTCAGTAGGCAATTTGAGGGATCAGGAGTAGTAAGAATCTTCCTCCTTGAAAATCATCACATTTATTTTTCTCTACCTTTCACAAAGCAAATGCGGTCTCATCGAGGTACAGACCTAGACAGCTGGAAACATAGTGGCCTTTTACCTTGAGTTTATCCAGCTCCTCTAGCTCAAAATCAGCTTCTGCATCCTTCTGTGACCGTTTCTTCCGAACAATTGCGCTGACAATCTCACGGCAGCAGCTGCAAAGATGGAGAATGTTGTTGACACTGTAGGAGTGCCCTCAAATGCTTTCTGCCTTTCAGGCAGCATCCCATTGCTGTCAGCAAGATGTACAAGCTACCTATAGACTTCTGCACTAGAGAACAATTCTCACCTGCACCACTCACACAATGACCTCCCAGGCAGCTTGTTTGTGCCTGTACTGTACTAGCCCATAGAGGAAATAAGAACACAGATGCAGGCTTTGCTCCAGGTGACCTGGACTGCAGACTCACTGCCTGTACTGTTTTACATCCTCCAGAGGTGATGCTCAGAACAGTAGACAGAGCCCACAGAGTTACAGATGCGTGTTTTATAGCAGTACCAGGTATAAAGCAGATACTGTCATTCTCTTTAGATACACCTATCTTTCGAGGCTCCCTCCAAATTCCAGTAAGGACCATTTAGAACCTAGGAAAAGATCTAAGGAAAACCAAATTGATCAGATCTGCTGCCTCGAGGAATCTCTTGGCACACTACACATTTTTCTTTAATTAGCCTCCTTTAGTCCAAATTGAAAATCTCTGTTCATACCTGACTACAGAACCAGACAGTACACACATCTTGGCAATCAGCTTTTCTGCTTCTTCCTGTAGTTCCTGAGCACTCTGAAGACTGAGCTCCTTGCCCATCTCGAAGTCTGCCTCTTGCTGCTGGGGACACTCACAGGACAAGTGATCCGCTATCACATATTGCAGCAAATTCACCAGCCACAGGGTCAGGTTCCTGTGCAGTTCAGTCACCTGCACAAAACATCAGAGCAAATCTAAACCAGTAATAAGTGAACGATCTTATCAGGTAGTCTGAATTCAGTGCATTTCACTTAAGCCAATATTCTACCCTAACTCAAGCTGACCTAGTAACAGAAACATTGACCCGTATTTTTTTTCTCCCATATTCATTCCTATTACCAATAAATATTTTCCTGCTATGGACCTGTCTTTCTGCAAAGTATTTGTTCAGCAACATGAGCTCTTTATCAGCTACGGGGCATTGTTGTCCACATTCCAGCAGCAAACCAAAAATCACACATCGTGCTTGCAAAGCATTTAGAAGATACACTGTGAGAACCTCACTAGCACAAACACACACAAAAAAACATCAAAAACAGAGAGCTAGCAGCCAAAACAGTTCTCTGAACAGAAAATATCAACATTACTCCAGAGGGAAAGCTTGCTAAAGATTAGCAAAACATAATTCTGTTGATTCACTCTTTAGTGCACTATTTTTAGTAGTCTTGATATGTTCCCCTGGCTGGAAGACAGAAAGCCGCAACTCAAACAAGAAAGAAGGTGTTAAAGGAGAAGCAGGCATTCCTCTCAGCTGTGGTCTGTCCAGACAAAAATTGGAGGAAACAGTGAATCCTAAATACAGTGCTTTACTTGCTTCCACTTACTTCTTCATTAAGATGCGTGGTGCTCTTCTCAACCTCAGTATTCACGGACAAAATCCATTGTTGAATCCTCTTAAAAAATTCTCTAGGTACCACCCTTTAAAATAAATAATGCAGAGACAAAGTGACATCTAATGCACCACACCCAGGGATCTCCTGTCGCAAAGACACCTTTGTTCCCAGCTCAAGGAAAACAACATTTAGCACACCAGATGCTGGGGACACGACGCAAGCAGATTTATTGACACTGTGGTTGTGGGCAAGCTTGTCATTTGCAAATAATCTCTATCATATATGTTATGCATGTGCTCTGCAAATACTTTACTTCCTGATGATATTTGCCAAAGACAGAGCATGATGAGAAGAATGCCCCCACAAATCTGCCTGTAAATTAATCACAAATTGTAGCTTTTTTCTTCAAATGCCACGATCTCGAAACAGGTGGCACTCAGTGATGTTCCAGGAGTTATATTGTAGCCACCAACTGTCTCGAGATATTGCCAAATCAAAGCAAATGGCCAAATCACAGCAAATGAAAGGCAGCCACCAATCATTTTAACACTTCAGCTGATCACAGTTATCCCACTGCCAGTTTCTTGTGCCAGAGTCCCCACAAAACAACATTTTTCTTTTCTTATGCATGTAGTTTCATGTATAAGGCACAATTAACACCTTTGTCCTTACGGGAAATGCAATTCCATATCACTTTCAGCTTTATGCAACTGACTGGAGCCTATAATGCTCATTAATGCATCCACTTGGGCCAACCATGAAGGAATCATGTGATAAAATGCCTGCAGTTCAGTTTCATGCATGCCAGAACCTCGCGTTAGCTTTTGCGCCTTGAGTAACCAATCTTCCATGCTTCTCACCAAGACTGTCAAAAAACTGGCTGTGCCTGGAGGAGAAGAAAATACAAACCTTTAATTACGTTCTTTCAGCCAACAAAAACAAGGCTCAATTCAAAGACCTTTGCCAGGAGGGATGAACAGCCTACGTGAGATCTGGCTATACTTAGCACTAAGAACAAACTGTTTAGGAAGCACTGAATTAAAAGCAAGTTGGAAGAAAATCTGCTTGATGTGAAGCTGACTTTCTTTCTTGTCTTGACAGATTTGACTTGTTGCATAAAGAAATGTGATGGCTTAATAGGACTCTTACAAAACGCGCTGTAGCTCTCTTCAAAAGAGATACAACATACATAGATATTAAAAAATACTTGGATAAAACAGTAAATCACACGTTCATTCACTCATCTGGCATACGCTGATGGATATTCTTTGATTCCTGGCAGTATGCTTGAAATTAAGGTTGCTCCTGATGTCCAGTGTTTAGTCTTTAAATCCTGCTAAGGTCCTGGTCTTCATGACATCTTGTTTCAAAGATAGCACGTTACACATGTGGAGGTAATTACCATTTTTGAGACATTTTAATGACTCAGTTTCCCCACTGTACTGCTGTGGTATGTTAACTTCTACTCTGGATTATTTGTCATGCAATGAAGCAATGTTTAGATGTTCAGACTGGTAAGAAAGGAAAGAAGTTACCTCCAAAGGTTGGATGGTACCAGAACATACTGTGAAAGCCCCACAACTAGACAAATTTGCTTTGGGAAGACTGCCTTTATCTTATAGTCAGGTCTGCAGCAAAAGAGAAGAGCTAGCAGGATCTCAATGGAGAGGTCGCTCTGGTCCCAGTCACCAAGTTCAGAGTCAAAAACTTACCAAAAAAGGTATAACTTCAAGAAATGATCAAGGAAGAGCAAAGGCCTTAATGAAAATTTATAAATTTTAGTCTCATATGCCGTTGTTCTCTTTGCATCTTTATTCCTTGTCAACAAATACTGAACCTTTTGTATTTCTGTCACATGGTGCTTGAGATCAGGTAACCTGAACTTAGCAGATAATAAATATTTCAGGTAAATGAGTATCATTGCCTTACAGAACAAAATTACAATAATTACCATGTTTTCAGTATTTTTTCTCATCTATTTCTTATAGCCATTTTCTTTTTCACCTTTTTTTTTTAAACTGTAGCTGCAATGTAAAGAGATGGAATACCCTGTCTCTTCTCATAGGCAGAAGAGCAGAAATGAGTCCAAGCAATTCAAATACACTGCCTTGTATGGAGGAAGAGAATACCTTTACTGAGATCCAGTTCCCAAAACCTATGTTAAAATAAGCTAAACCTCCTTTTTCTGGACTTTACTGATAGAAGCAATTCTGTATCAGATGTCAGCACTATGCCACCTAAACCTTTGTTCAGACCACTAATAAATACAAAGACTTCTGACAGCCTGCTGTTAACTTTTTGCCATGATATCTGGCCAGTTACGTCCCTGCTTCTTTTTCCTTCTTTTACTTTTTAATGAGAACTGCTAGGAGTATTCACTTCTTTCAGCTGTCTTTTAGGTTGGACAGACTTAACAGTATACTGTCTCTTTTAGCAGAAATATACAACACAGCATAAAGCATAGGGTAACATTATGAAAGACTAAGATGACAGAATGAGAAGGAGCTCGGAAAACATGAGCAGCAGTTCTGGACACATATTCAGTTTAGTCTTCTAAAAGAAAAGAAGATGATTAAAAAAAAAAACCAGAGATGAAACAATTCTGAAGTCAGAAATGAGTCAAGGCCTAGGAGAGGCAAATGTTGAAAAAGTTGGTTACAAATGTTTGTTATCTTAAGCAGAATGTGATAATTTTATATCAGCAAGAAAAATATTTATTTGCATAATTTATTATCCGTATAAATCAATATCTAAATTTAGATAACTCTGTTTTAATGATAAGGTAATTAAAAAATATTACCCTCTGAAACAGTATTATCAGGTTAATGAACTCTAAAGTGACATTTTGCTTTAAAACTTAAACATCTATTCTTTTATTGTACATTTGCTTTCTTTTCCACACATAATTCACGCAATCACAAACTACACATGCTTAACACAGCTTAACACAGTTTATGTCTTATTTGTACTGCAATTTTCTTTGATTATATTGCATTGCATTTCAGATTCCAGATATTCTTTGTGCGATCAAGAGCCAAGTTTCTCAGAGTTCATACCTCCCATTTTTTGGTTGCTGAAATATACGTAGGGATCAGACATAGTCTTTGCAAAAAAAAATCAGAGCAGATTGTACTAACTGGTCCTTTATTACCTGCTACCTCCCTGGCATATCCTAAGAAAGACTGAACTGCAAAATTGGTTATTTCTTACCATTATTCCCACTTATCCTTATGTTATATTGCTGATAGAGTTCACGTGCACTTTGGTTTATTTCTTCCAGGGCAGTGAGCTGTGGAGGCAATGCTCCAGTTAAGTCCCGGTGTCGACTCAGCACCGTTTCTCCTAGCTCTGTCCAGTGTCCCTGTATCCTGGCAGCACTCCTGAGACTTTCAGTCTTGGCTAGATATGTCTCCCCTGCATACAGCTGCACATCTTCCTTCAGCATCTGAAAAAAAGCAACAGGCTTACTGTGTCCCCAAAAGTTGGACCACTCCTTGGCTGCAGTGGAAAGGTGGTAGAAATCAGGTAAGAGAATAACAAGGAATTCATGAGCATGTCATAGTAAGTACAATAAGTTGGAAACTTACTCCATGAAGCTGACAACTGTGAATGCTTCTACAGATTAATATAATCTGTCAGTCACCAGAACTGGCAGTCAGTGCTCAAGTGTGGGTAAGCCTAATGGCTGAGCTGCAGTATTGGGCAGTTGCAACTTTTCATGTGTAGATTCTTGGTTGAAGCTTCAGAACAAATGATGTCAGTTGATTTGTGATGGGCATAGATACTGACAGCAATTGGTCATTTGCTGAGCATATACCATTTAGTAGTATGTTCAACCTCCAGAAATCTTACATTTATTAAGAGCTTCATATCTTCTAAGATCTCATCCAATAGCTCTTCTTTCATCTGAAAAGAACTAAGCAGAAAAAAAGAAGGCATGAGAGCTGAGAGAAAAAAAAATCCTGTAGTGGTTTATGCAAAACCAAGGTCAAGATACAGTGTATGCATGCCAAGTTTGTGACACAAATTATAACTTGGAAAAAAAAAAAAGCCAAAAACACCAAGTCTTACTTAGCTGGCAAGGCTAAGTCACTCAACATAGTGCAAACACAACTGTAGTTAAGAAAATCAATTATTAACATACGAATGAAGTGTGGAAAATAACATCTTTTGTTAGTGCAGACAGTGCATTTCTGGATTTTGCACTTGCATTTGTCCTTTATTTAATATATCATGATGGACTAACAAAAAGTCTGCAAAATATACATTAATATACAAAAAGACCTTGCATTTGGAACCTCATGTGCCTTACAGTCTCATTTTGTATCTTTACTGCTCTATTGAAGCATCAATACAAGTGTCATGAGTGTTAAAATGAACCAAACTAAACAGAAGAATTCTGTCATGGCAATCATATCTGTAAAAAGAGAACTCTGGCTCCTAGCAGAAGGGTAAAATCCTTGCCCTAATGGAGTCAGCAGTAACCTCACCACTGCATTCAGCCACAAACATACAGCATCACTTTGGAGCTACCACTAAGGACCCAATTATCAAAATAAACATGTCAATCATAAAAGCAGAGCAGTGAGGGATATGAAAAATGAAGATTGTAACAAATCTCACTACATCTGAGTCAGGAATTCTGTGCATGCTTTGACTTGTGCCATGGGGCAAAGGGGAAATGACTACTACTCCCAGTCCCTCAGGGCCACTCACAAGTTACTGTGTTGGTACTGTAGCCACTTGTTGAGGTTTCTGAGCACAATTTGCAGTTTTTCCTTGCTGGACTCCTCCAAATGCTCTGTCTCTGCTCCAACATGACCTAATATTCCTTTGAACTGCTCGGTCTCCTCCTGTAGATCAGCAAGGTCTCTCAGATCCTGCAGCCATTGAAATGGCAAAAAAAAAGTTGTAACTGTTTTGATCTGAGTTGAAGGAATTCTCCCTTCAGTCTAGGTGTTTTGAGTTATATCTATATATATATATCAGAGATCTGGGAAACAACCCCTTTCATGCAGGACTAAGTTGGCTCACACTTCCCAGGTATTCCAGAAGCGAGCACTTGACTGTCTGCTGCTTGTATGCTACATAGAGACCATGCAACTATATACCTTCAAAGACAAAATTTCACTAACCTGGATCTGTTTGGTTTTATGGCGATGGAACAAGGAGAGGGAAGAATAACATGAAGAAGGAAAAGAAGAGGAAAAAGAAAAGCTTGAGGTAGAGGAAAGAGGATATGGAATAATGAGAAAGGGAACTGGAAAGACAATGAGTGAATTCAAGTTTTAATGCTTGTTCAAAACTAGATCAAGATTTAAAAGTTCTAGTAACAGCAGAAGTACTGAATGCTTTACTGAGCATCAGTGCTACATGCACCACACACACAAACACTTCCAACAGGTACCCATGGCAGACAAGTCCTACCTTTGAGGCCAGAAGGACTATGAAATGCTTGAGAACTTTGGTCAGAGCCTTCCCACTTATATGGAGCCTGCGAATCAATGTGAGTTGGTTTCTTTCTATTATCTGAAAGAAACGTTATTTTCACTGTTGTCTTTTGAGAGAAGGGACATCTGATAGTAACGTGAAGCTCTACCATCAATGAAATAGAGTGCAAGCAGACGAAGCCACTTACCTCAGAAATAAACTTCTTACCCACAAGGCAAACCAAGAAGGTAGGTCTGCTAATAAATTTGAAACTTTATCGAGGAAAAAGTAAAAGATCACAAACAAGAAAAACACACAAGCTAGGAAGCAGAGTTATCCAAGAATGCTATTTTGTGAAGCTTAAAGAATCTGGCTACAATATTCCAAGTTATGGGGAAGAAGGAAACTTTTCAGTCAAACTCATCTCCAACTGGAAATGTTCATTTCGTAGTTCTTCCTGCACAGAATCTGGAGGCCTGTACTAAAAATGCTGTGTGAATCAGCTGGAACAAACCAAACAAAACATGAAATACAACAGTCCTCAGAAAAGGAGGGCAAGAGACGGGTTAGCACCCAATTAGATTAAACACAAACATTCTTTGGAATGAAATTTGCTTTTGGAAAAGTCTGCCTGCTGTGATAGTCTATACCTTGCAGTGTATCACTGACCTCCCATACTTACCATCAGAGCAAGGTTACATGCAGCTGAGCTCCAGATGTCTCTCTCTTGAGCTACCACCAGAACCTGGTCTTCCAGCCTTCTCCTCTGTAACTCGTATAACTCTCGATACTGTTCCAAAAGGCTAGAAGGAAAAGACAATGAAGTTTGTCCATGCTTCTTATTCACATTTATTGCGTTCCTCCCAATTCCCAAGACATTTCATCTCCCTCTTTCCTTCCTTGATCACCTTCCACATAAGTGCGTGAATTCATGGTTCCTTTACCCTGAGCTGCTACAACACCACTGTGTTGATATCCTCCAGCCAGTATTCTTACAAATCTCTGTTGGATCTAGACTATCTGCTTTCTTCATGACACAAGATTCCTGTAAGTGAATCCCAAACGCCCAACACAAATCCGATACCAACCACCTCAATACTTAGGTTTTTTAGGTATCTGAAGATGTCTACAGCCCCATACGAGTTCCAAGCCGCAGGCTCTACTTGACTATGAGCTTACCAGCTATGACTGTAGGGTGAAGAGGATGGCAGCACCTGAGCAACAAATGCAACTTCTGTGATTTAAAACTAGAAGAATTTTAGACAGCTTCTTGTCCCTTTGAGGAGTTCAGGGCTTATAGAAAAATGACAGTATTTGTCACAAAGAGCCAAGCTCTCTTCCTCAGAAGGAAATCTGTCCTTCTTCCCAAGCCAGGAGAATGATACCAGCACGCTGCAGAGATCTCCCAACCTTAGCTTTGAAAGCAACTTACTTTGCATTTGCCTCTGCCTCTTGCATGGCTGCAGCTAGCTCCTTTTGAACTTTTTCTGCTTCTTTGGTCACCTTGCAGTCATGTTCTCGTACCTCATGTAGTTCGCTGAAACAGCAAGGAACAGCCTAAATAAACTTAGCCCAGCCCAGTCTCTGCTCTGCTAAACACAGACTGCTCTCACCATACACAGACAGCTCTCTATAGAGTTGAAAAGCATTTTGAAGACCTCTTATTCCTGCACACGCAGATTGCTCCCACAATCCCCTTCAGTGCAAAGTGTAAAGGAAAGCAGGTGGTTTAACCCTTATTCTGTGCTTCCATGCTGCACAGCTGACAGTAAAAACAGACTAATGGTGTGAGGAGGCTAAAGCGCAGTCCCTGTAGCTCTGGCTCAAATAAGAAAAATAATTGCCTGCTCCTGTGGAAGGAAGATTTGAAAACTAACAAAACCCGTATGCTAAGCTTAGTGCATTGAGATAATTTTTTAGGATGAGGAAGGATTCAGACCTGGCCAGCTGTGCAACACACTCCTTAAAATAGAGTAGTTCTTCTGTAATATGTCTGTCAACCAGTTGCTGAGCCATCATTTTTTTGTAGAGTGTCTTCATCTGCTGAGGAATACGCTCCAGGAGATCCACATACCTCTGTCTTCAGTAAAAATAATAAAAATAGAAATTTAAAAATAGAAATTTTCCTGAAAGTGAAGATCTGAAAACCATTCCTTTCACTGCACAAGAGCGCATCTAGAGGGCAATCTTCTGACTGTTCGGACTTGGGATTTAAAAAACTCTGGAACAATGTAATTGCTACAAATACTGGTAATCAATGTGTGAGGTGGAAAAAGAGCAGAGGAACCCCAGCTGTGAGAGTAGTTCCAGCTATTCCACATGTGAAAAGTTCCATTAAATGTCACACCCATAAGGTGCCCGCATTGTCAAGTGTTGTGTCAAGGGTTCAAACTCCTGGTTATGTAACAGTGGTCCATTAGTACTGGTTGTTAACTAGGCAGGGCAATCCTATTTCACTTCTGGCATCAGACCCCGTGCCAGTGACATTGTGACAGGCTAGCTTTGTTGGGCAGTGACATTAAGAAAGATCTGCAATCTGCAAAGATCTAGCTAATGCTGCTCCTGAGAGGATACTGCCACAAATCAAGAGGGGGATTAAGGGTGCTTGGCAAATGATGACCTGAGTTTAGAAAGCAGCTGTCCTCTCTCCTTGCAGTCCACGCTGACCTGCCGAATCATCTCATGGAAAACTACATTGTAGATGTTCTGCTCTGCCTTCATCAGCTCCAGCATGTTGTGCAGCTGGCAAAACAGACGAGACAAACACCAGCCTTGCAGAGACTGGCAAATCTCCGTCATCAACTGAGACTGGCACAGCACACTAAATTCTTCTGAACCTAATTTCCCTCTTGAAGAGGTAATGGGGAAGGGGAAGAGAAAGAGCCAACCTGCACACATTCACAGGTTCTTTTTCAAATTTGTTTTGGCTCTGTCCTCCCATTAACATCTGTGGGAGCTTTTCTGCTGACTCCAGCAGGAGTTGATATTGAAGCAGTGCTATACATTTTTCAAAAATCCTGCTTTGTCCATTTAAACCCTCCCCATTACTGTGCAAAAATAATAAAAAGTAAGCCCAAGCAAAGTATAGAGATTTTTTGGCAAATGAAAGCTTCTAAAGATCCATTTTTAAACACAGCAGCCTGTCTGCTAATGAGGAGATGAGATAGCCACTGCTTTATTTCCTCCATAGTAATGCCAAATGATTCCTTTCTGGCATTTTTGCAGCTGCTTGTTCTTCAAGGATCAGACAAAGACAACCAGAAGCTCAAGAGAGCGATCTCTCACCTATGACAGCACCTACAGACAGATGGCCTGGGCAAAAAGTAACTGCTTGGAGGCATCTTAAACACAACTGAGACAAACACTAGGGAAAATGATATTATTTTTCTGGGTATGAGTGAGTTATCCACCTGTGAAGGTCCTGTTACTCCAATCAGCTCATCTACTCCAGCTTTTTCCAACATGCTGTCCATTGCCTCCATCAGCTGTATGACCTCTAACCTCCCAGAAGGTTTCCTGACAGACCAGAAAGAGACACATCATTATTCTACACAGTATTCTATGGTATTTTCCCACAAAATGGAATTCAAACTGTGGCGTGATGCTTTGGTTTGGTTTTTTCCCCAGTAAAAACTTGATTCAGGGTACGTACATGGACGGGAACAGATGTAGTCTCTTTTCACTGTCTTCAAGCAGAGTTGTGTACTTACTAAAAAAAAAAAAAAGAAAAAGATAAAAGCTGAATTATAAAACAGCCCTTCCAGTGCTAAGGAATCCTGCACTTTAATTCAATCTCTATGTCCCACATACAGTAAGATAGGGAAAGAAGTGTGGGGTTGTTCTCAGTGGGAGCATCCAGAGCCTGAAGTCTGACCTCTTGCAGCTGTTCATGCAACTGATACACCAACAGAAGCTCCTCCTTGCCACCAAAATCTTGTAGGAACACTGGAGGTACCCAGCAGCACTTTGGAGTAAAGCTTTGTAAATGAGATTCTAAACTTACAGCCTGAAAAACTGAAGATCCCAAGCAAACAAACAAACCCACACCAGAATGGTCAGCTCCAAGAGTTAGCAGGCCTGTAGAGCTCCAGTGAGAATAGAAACTACCCTGGATCTGCCCTGTGTTGCCCAGAAAGCAATTCTAGAGGCTAGTTAGAAAAACAAGACTAATCAAAACTACAAAAACAAAAAAACAAAAAAACAAAAAAAACAAGTTGCAACTTTCAAAAGTTTCCTCAAGAGATCAAAAGAGACTTCAGCTTCTACATTCATGTTCAAATAGGGAAACATTTAGTAGTAATAGCCTACAGAAAATTCTCCTTTACCCTTCCTCAAGCAGTAGAGGCAAAGCAAAGGTGGCTCACATTGCTCTGGCTGGCTGAATGCAGCCTTACCATTAGTGTGGGATTTGTAAAGCCACCTTTTCTTTTCTTTTTTTATACACTCTCCTCAATTGAAAGAAGTTCATTTTTCCAGCGTTCTCAGCCTATTAGCATTTTACCCCTCCATTCTGAACAGCAGAAGCTCTACAACTTGAAGGCAAATCCTGGTCAATCAGAAAGCACTTACTCATCAAAGTACTTCAAGGGCAAAACTCCCTGCTTTCTCACGATGTGAAATTCCTCGGGAACCAGATTATCTGCTAGGGTTGCTTGCTAGGGATAGAAAAGAGAAAGCATTAAACATCAGCATAGAAGATAGCATGCAAATTCCCAGTTCCTTGCCAGAGATGGTGCAGTTTTGGCCACGCAAAAGAGAGCAAAGAGAGCAAAGCTCACAGAGTGACTTTTCGTGGTGCTTTTCTCTTTCCCGCTCTACGTAATTGGAGCACAACAGAAACAATCCACATTTGGAAAAAGATTAAAATAATTAATGCTGAACTGTGGCAGGGAGCTGGGATGCTGTGAACTGAAGGGAGAACTGATGGCTTTTAGGATCAGGGTAAGACACTAAAATCATTTTGGCTCAGTAACCAAACAAAGCCACAACCCATGGCAACACTGGAGGTGTACATGAAGAATTCCCTTCTCCCACTTAATGATGTACACAGAAACATAAATGAGGAGCAGCACTCACAGGAGTACTTGAGACTGTACCACTGCTTTGTTCCTGAGGACTCTGAGAAAAAGAGCTTTTGAGGGCCACTGTTTTATCTTCTTGGATCATCACATCACACAAATAAGAGACATCCCTGAAACAAAGGGAAAGAGCTGTACACTGACCCAGAACACAGGCAACCTACCTTTCTCTTGCTACTGGCCTCTTCCAGGCCAAAAAAGACTGATAAGATAATGCTTGTTTGGCAGATTAATCTGTTTGGCAGATTAATTTTTGGCCTATCACTGGCCAAAAAACTGCTTTTCATGCCTGTTGTCAATGCCTTGTCACGTACATAGCTGCAAACTGTAGAGGAGCAAGGCATTTTTCAATTCCTAGTGCTATTTAAGCAACGCTTATTTGCAAAGAAGTGTAAAGCTATTCCCTGATAAACCCATTAAAGCCAGAAAAGCTTCTTTTCCTAATCCTGGATCAGAGTATGCCAGTGAGCCTGGGATCGGTTGGAAGAATGCTTCCAAAGAGAGATCACGTAGCAGCAACTCTTTATTTATTATTCCTGAAACATCGTTCCCTTGAATTTCACCCAAGTAAGCTCAGTTGGGATAACTGGTCCATTCGTCCAGTCTCGTTAGGCAGCGCAGACACTCACCACTAGAAAAACCAATGGAAAGACCTATCTGCATTTGTAGTGCTAACGTCTTCCCATCACAGTCAACTCCTTATCCCTTCTTTACTTACCTTCCAGCACCTGTCAAGCTGACAGGGTGGTCTGTCAAGTGTCTGAACTTGCTCCGACGATTAGGATAATGCCAAAGCCGATCGGGGGTTCGCAAGCAGCCCTGCAGACAAAGCACACGTGGCTGTCACTTCTTAGCCAGAAATGTGCTAAGGAGTGGGAGAGGTCAAAACGACTGTCTAAACAAGCTCCATGTAATTATTTCTGACTTAGGGCTAAAGAAATCAGCATGCACAAAACAGTTGCTACAAGGGGTTCACAGCAACACATAGGTACAAGCACGTTTACCATTTTACAGGCATTGTAAGACTATGCTTTGGATCCACATCAAATGGCACGGTCAGAAAAGTAACGTTACACAAGATCAGTTTGTCCAAGAAGGTTGGCACCCTTCTTTTTCACCAACAGAATGAAAACATGTCCCTAAGAAAGAGTCAATTCTGGATAATAAAAAACCAAAGATGGAAACGCTTACCCTGAAGCTCACTCTGTTTTTTGTTTTTTGGTGGGACTGTAAGTAGTCTGGGCTGCCAAGAGAACTGCTAGCACAGGTCAGGGCTTGGAAAATCTCTTCTGGAACGAAACTGTACTCTGGGGAGGAAGAAACAGGCCTGACGTGGTCCAGCATCCTCGATGTACCCCTTAACAAAGGGATCTCTGGAAAGCAATGTGTCAGAACTCACTTATTCTACTGATAAAACAGAGGGCTGAGAAGAACTGTGAGAAGTTGCCCACTCCTTTACCCCAAAGCAGGAACAACTCTCTCAAACACAGGCAGCTAATCCCATTTCTAGCAGCTGCTGAATCTTTGGCAAAGCCTATAACAAGTTACCTTCAAACTGTGAGGGACAGTGGCACTAAATACACAACCTTGCCAAGCTGTCAGGTATGCAAACACCAAGGGATGCTACAAGCAACTGAAGTTATTTACGTAAATCCATTACCTTTCTTAAGGATTTCTACCAGTTGACTTTCTACAAAAACATTGACACCCTGCAATACTAGCAATTGCCTAAACAAAGGCAAAGCTTAGAACTCCCCCAGACAAGCATCCTGTTGTGAAAAGGAACCCAAAGGACACCATCCTCTGCCCCATCTCCAACTCCAGCCCTACCTGAATGGTCCTTGCTGACAGATTCCATGCACAAGGAATTGCTCATTTTTCTTCCAACTGCCTTCAGTCCAGGAACTGGCATTCCGTTGGTGGGCATGGTGAAGAGATGCTTGGATTTTTTTTAATTCTCACCCAAGGAAGTTTTCAGTAATGAGCAATCTAGAAACAGAGTCAAACCCACCTTTGTACTTCACAGGGTTAATATTTTTTTGTGTTATTAATTAACAGGGGAAAAAAATTAAAAACATCTGACACCAGGTAGCTCAGCTGGGAAGAAGCACCTGATGCTTTAGTTCCAGGGAGGAATACCCAACAAGAAGCTCTTATTGGCTCTACAGAGGGCAAAGCCTGAAGGACCACCATACTCATTATCTACTTAAACCCATAAAAATACATTTAATAACTGACATGGCATCAACTTGATTCACAGATGTAGAAAAGTCAAAGGTGTTTAAGTCAAATACAACTTCTGCAATTTATTAACATTTAGCATCACAAAATGATAGCTCAGTGCACTTAATGAAACCATCACAAGAGTTCTGTTCTCCAAATGCTACGTGCACGAGAGTGCTTGATTTTATCATTTGCAAATGGGGTTAACTGCTACTTTTACACATCTAACAACTGAACCAGAGACTTAATTGTAACTGAATTTCTCCATTAACATTACTGCCTTTCCTTCTTGCTTGCCAATGAAAAAAAGCTTATTGCTATGAATTTCATAGCCCCCAGGGACCCTCACATGAAGCCTACCCTTGCCAATACACATTGTTCTTCATAAATACTTTCTGACCTCCTTATCAGCTATATCCTTTTGTACTGAGGTTTCCAGATAGGTTAACAGCATTTCATTGACTGCACAGAAATGTGTTCATGCACATACGTGTAACCAAAAAAAAAAAACAGGGTAAAACTTCTGATAGGTGAATACATTGCAGTGGTTTCCTCCCACTCTCCGCTCCTCTTTAAAACCAGTGCTTGGCAGTACACTCTATTCTCACCACAAAGGATAGGAAGATTGATTAATGGTGCTGTTCTGTCGCTGCTACAGCTTAAGGACATAGAAAAGACTTGACTTCAGGCATGTGGTGCACAGCTGGAAAATAGCACATTAAGTTCCTGGCACACAAACCCATCTCAGGCCCAAAGCAAAGGCAGAAATCACCAACACGATGTACATTTTGGTACTTGTTCTGATTTAATACAGGTTAAGTTGGGAGAGGCTAGAAACTCTGGTCTGTTCCAAGAGCTACAGGCCCTTTCCCTGTGCTCCTTTGCACCTCTTCCTCAGCTCCAAGACCATTCCTTCCCTCCTCTAGCAGAGGGGCTGGACTGGGACTGCCTGGAGCCAGGCACATTGTTTCTAGCCACCCCACAGCCATCATCATGCAGCCTCTGCTGCACACCAGCAGCTCCCAAACCTCCCAAGTATTCCAGCTCCCACGCTGCACAGGGAGCAGCAGAGCCCTCCATACCTGCCAGCTATTACCAGCCAGGCAGCTCCTCACTGACTCCGTCACTATGGAAACAGAGCATTGCCATCCCTGCATTCTGGAAGCAGCCTCTCACAGCAGTTCCCCTCCCAGAGGAACAACCCCACAGTGACCCTGCCCCAAGCCCAGTCCTACTCCCCTTCCCCTTCTTCTTCTGCCACCCTCATCCCAAACTAATCCAGAGCCTTGGGAAAGAAACAGGCCGAGACAGTTTTGGTTTTTTTTTCTCCTCTAATAGGAAAATATATTTCAACTGCTGTAATACAGTAGATTATAAACGGCTCCTCTGCATGACAGAACACAGTACAGGTTGCATATACGTGGGACTGCTGGTATCAGGGGCCAGCAGGTGACTGCTGTGCAGTCCTCTTCTTGCACGCCTCTTCCCTGCCACACCGCTGCTGGATGAAGAGACAGCAATGGCTTCTTCACCCTAGAAGGGGGAGCTGGCCTGGCTGCAAGCACCAGAAAGGACAAGGGTGAGCTCAGCTGGGTCAGAGGCACAGCACAGAGCTGCTTCACAAACCCGACACCGTAGAGCATGTGGGCCTGCTCCTGGCTCACACACAGGACTGCCATCCTTCCAGCCCAACTACATTCAAAAGGTGGGATTTCAAACAGCTCAGCTGTCCATTGGCAGGTGGACTGATTCATGTCAGTACCATTTTATATTTAAAAATACATTAGGATCTCCCCCCTCCCACCACAGCATGTACCACATGCCTTATTTGGGTGGCAGTCACAGGATAACATACAGTTAACAGCTCAAACGTGAGGCTGCTTCACTTTGAAAGGCAGAAAGCAAAAACATCCTAACAGAAAGGACGTACAAGGCGTGAAGACTGCACAGATTCAGTTTTCCTGAGAACTAACCATTATCTGCATGATAATGGGATAGATTTTGGATATATTTCACAACATTAACACTGATTTTTGTGATGTTGAACAATGAGCTGCAGCTGTTCTGGCTGCCATTCCAAAGCTGGACGCTTCCCACCTTAAAACTTTCAAAGAGTTACTATGGAAGCAAGCTTTATAATTCTTGTGTTGGAAAGAATCACAGAAAACAGCATATACCATTAGAAACTTGAAAAGGGCAGGTTATAAACCTTAACATTCACTTACTTGACCAGAACACCACACTGCTAGCTCTGGTACTCATGGTCTAAGTAAGCTCTTTTCAAGCAAACAAACATACTATAACAGACTAATTAAACAAAGGACTCAGTATTCTCCCCTCCAGAAAAACGAATGTAAGCCTGTATTCAAAGCAATTTTAAAAACCCTATGAAATTGAAAATAATTCCCTGACAGCACAGTTGTGAGATGCCTTGATCTACAAGGCTGAAAACCTTAACCTGTCAAAAATCTTCAGACCCCTGCCAACAGCTGAGCACCCCATCCTGGTTGCCTTTTGCTTGCCAGATGCTCGAACCACCAATGTTTCCAACACCAAGGATGCTGACCCAGAAAATGCTGATATTGTTCATTAGGGATATGACACAGTGCCAGCTGCAAGGGCAACACTACAACTTGGCACAAAGTGCCAGGACTTTATTTCTTTTCAGAACACTGAGATAGTAGCAAGACCTGACACAGGCATCAAGAAGAAAAAAATGAGTTCCAAAACCATCACACCCTGTTTGAGTACAATCATATCTGTATATAAGTGTTTCAAGCACCAGCTCTGAAGTACTAAACTGAATTTTACCCTGTGTTAAGCAAGTGATAGAGCTGTTTGGCCAAAGGGTTTACTTGCTTTTGTTCATGCTTCCCTTGTTTTTTAAAGAAGAAAGCTGGATTTGAGAGTGACTGTTCAGTTCTTCCAGCACTTCTATCCCTTCCTCTAAGCAGAAAGGGAAAGAAAGACTTAGGATTATTCAGGCTGAACAAGATAAGAGTAATGTATTTCATTCCTGGGATTTTGTATACTAATACTGCCAAGTTTGGTTACACACATGAACTCCTTCCTCTGAAGCCAACCCAACTGTTTCAGACAAAGTTCTGGTAGGAGATGTTTTTAGATGAGAACAACACATGCAAGCCTGCAATTTGGCAAATTTGACTTGACAGCATCCCTTCTGAAGCACAGCATTTCCTCTTATAGGCATTTCAAAAGTTGGAAGAGTAAGTAGTGCCCAGCTCTCATGAATTTACTTTTGACTCAGGTTAATAAAGAGAAGCCCAAAAAACGTTTAAGTGGGAGACAGGTCCACGAGTCCATAACTTCTGGTATCTAATACCTGGGCTGTAGGTTAGTAAGGAAAAGCTGTTGCTGAGAAGTGGCAATTAAGAACATTTGAGTAATTAAGAGAACCCCCATGACCAAAGTCAAGGTGACAACAGTTAAAGAAACTAGCAGGTTACCTTCCTTCTCCAATAATGGAAGCTACGACTTCAGGAAAACTGAACAGATATGCACCCAAACCCAATTTAAGTTCCTTTCTGTGCTTAACATCTGACAGTGCAAGGAAGCTGAAGGGGCTCTGCCTAATTCAGACAGAATAGCTGCTGTTATAAATACATACTGAAAGACCAAATTCACTGCGCTTCTTTTAGCAGTGTCTATGGGAAGATGTCCTCCCTCTTCAGAAGTAGGAGAGCAATATGTAGAAAACTTATTTTCAGCTGAAAAAAAATCTCACTGACGAGGGCAGACACAGGCAGATGCAAAAGCAGCTCTGACTCCAACTGCTGGGTCAACCCTAATTCCCCACTGACAGTGATAGAGACTGCTACAGTACCTGTTGGCAAGGGGCACCATGACATGCTGCTAAAGAACCCAACACAGACATCTCAAATGAGAATGCACTATGTACCTGTAAAGTCAACCACATTTTCTTACAGTTCAGTCATAGTATTTCAAATCTTTCTCACTACAGAAAGCCTTAATTTGTATACCTTAAAGCATCTGCCAAATTAAAAGAAAAAGCTCTTTTATGTAAATTGTGTTAAAAAATTATCTGTGATTATCTGTGAGCAACAGAAAGGAAGAGCTACAAGAAATCTATTCCTCAAGTC